GGGACTATCAGGCAGTGAAGGGTGTTTGGGACTATCAGGCAGTGAAGGATGTTTAGGACAATCAGGCAGTGAAGGATGTTTGGGACTATCAGGCAGTGAAGGGTGTTTGGGACAATCAGGCAGTGACGGATGTTTGGGACTATCAAGCAGTGAAGGGTGTTTGGGACTATCAGGCAGTGAAGGGTGTTTGGGACTATCAGGCAGTGAAGGGTGTTTGGGACTATCAGGCAGTGAAGGATGTTAGGGACAATCAGGCAGTGAAGGAATGAAGGATTCCATCAATGAAGGAAGGACAGGTGCGGATTCCTCCGCCTGTGCGGCGCCAATGCTGCGGAAGAAGTCAGCAATTGCGACGCAAGAGCGAATGAATAACCAGTATTGGCAGGGCCATCAATTGTAAAAAGTAATTGAATTGATAGAATTGTAAAATTCAGCAATTGATTATCGTATCGCGGTTGATGGGTTGGAAGTATATTTTCGACAGTCAAGGTATTGATTTCAATGGTAGAACGAGGTTAGTTTGAGTCCGTCTAAGTATACTCATATTATAGGCACCAAGTTCACATCAGTGATACACGGTGAGATGTTCATCAGGCGACGGCGTTGATGAAATGACGCTGCGAAAGGCACATGGTTTGGCCGACAGTTGTCAGCTTGTATTTTCTCTCAAATGAAATTTAAACAACGTAATCCTAATTGGCTACTGCTTGTTCCTTGCATATATCTTAACATGGCCACATTCCATGCACACTCATTACCTTTATTATCATAGGAAAGGTATTACAGGTAAAAATAAGTTGATGGACAGTAGCTACAGAAGTTTGTATCTAATATATAATGAGCATCCGCTGAGTACATAAGCGTCGTTCACAAAGAACTGGTGTCACTCATTAAGAAAAGAAGTCAATGCAGGTCAATCTAATCCTCAACTTTTAGATCAATTCCCTAACTGTGTCGCGGATACTTGTAATAATTGCATTTGCAGCGTCAGGTTCTGAACTAACAACCTTACGAGCTAAAATGGGGAGCGCAGCCCTACACCACAAATTTAGCTCGTAAACAAGCCCTGGTGCCAACGCCTACCCTATAATGCAATAACTAAACTCAGCTCACACCCAAGAAGCTGTAGGTAACTGAGTCATCGTCCCACACCAACTTTAAGCAACACCTACCTCACTCCACAGCCTGCTGAATCAAATAGTCAATTGTCAACAGGCCCTACTCCACAGAATTTTACCCCATACTATCACTTCTTACACACGCCGTAAGCCTTACTGGCCGCAGACCACGCCGGATCACCGTAAACCTGCTCTGCTATTTGCAGGACTGGCGTAATCCCGCCGCACTTCACGGGCAGAAGCGCAAACCGCCGTCCCTCTAACGCCATGCCCCGGCTCTCCCCCTTCGCAGCCATAAGGCTTTCTTCGATTGCTGATCAGTTGTGCGCCAGGTTAGGTTAGGTTTGGTTAGGTTAGGATAGGTTAGGTCCCTCCATCGCGCCAGGCGCATTACTGATCGGGCAACGAGAAAAGCCTTTTGCTGGCTGCGTAGGGGGAGAGCTGGGGCATGGCGTTATAGGGACGGCGGTTTGCGCTTTAGCCTGTGGAGTAGAGCGCCATGAAGCAGTGGCTGTGACGTAACGGCGCTGTTATGTCGGGCGATTATTTTAAAAGCCGCGAATACGACAGGCTGTGTTTAATACAAGCACGCAGCAGTTTTGCTATTTGCCCACGGCTGTTGCTTCGGTGGCTTGATGTTATCTGGCTGATTGATTCATATCCAGGAAAGGAAATGACACCTATGGCTTTAGGCTCTTAATCACACAGGCTAATATGCCCTCTAGCGTGATGACGAGCGGAAAGGAATAGATATTGAATTGTGGGTAAGGGCTGTGTAGGGGTCTATACTGCGTCCCAAGTTGAAGTAAATTATTAAAGTTTATAATTTAATTCTAGGTACTCGTTTTTATAAACTGGGAGATTCCCCAGGTGGCAGGTACCGTTGGTTTATTTCTGCCCTTCTCACAGCCATGGTGAAGCACCGCCCCGGACACCTATTATTCGCCACCTACGCGTGACACCGAAAACTGAACGCATCGAGGGCCCCTGTAAGGAAAGACCGTTAATCAGCGCTTTTTCCTTCGTAAGCCGAATAACGTGTTGAAGAGACGGTGACTACGAGCAACGACGGGCCGGCACAAGCTGAAGGCGACAACGAGCGTTCCTACAAGTCAGCTAGGTCGTGAGACGAGATGTGCAGAGAAATTCAACTGCATACGGTGGCAGCGATGTGGCAGCAACTACCAGTGGCAGTCAGCAAAGGAATCAACAAGAAGAAACTTACTGATTAAGTCAGTTCATCAGGAGATGGATCAGCTAGAAAACGTACCAAGAAAGTCGGTATTTTAATTTAGCGGAAGTCGAATAGAGCGACTGAAAAATCCTCGAGCCACAGAAAAGGCATCTGAGTTGATCTACGTGGTTGGAATGGCTTACAAATTTTAATAGAAGCCATTGATTCATAATTAGAGTATAATTCTACCATTTTGTGCGTTGACCGCAATAACATTTTATGGAAGTGATTATGGTGGATGTAGCAGAGTATTGGCGACTTTCTGTATTATTTTACCTGATCATGCCATGATATAACTTTTGTGATGTAACTCAAACGAATCTCCAAGTTTTACAATGTGCTGTGAACTTAAACGAATTTTAAGACATATATAAAATGCGAATCCGTTGGCATAAATGAATAATGCTGATTAAAATAATGTTCCATTGTAGCATAACGATTAGCGAATCAGGAGGTAGAATTTAAAAATAATTCAGACCGTTTTTATTAAATGCAGGTAGTGTTTAAATTGGATTTCGCTTCGAGTATTAAAGATGTCGTAGACAGACATCTAATTATACAACGCATGTACAACGACTATATCCTAAAGAATAGTGTTTTAAAAGTACGTCGCGCGGTACGTGAACCTACACTTGAAGGCTGTGAAAAGGCAATGGCAACGTCCTATGGCAGCAATGGCAACGTCCTATGGCTGTGAAAAAACAATGGCAACGTCCGTCGGCAACGTCCAAAGGCAAAAGCAATGGCAACGACAGATAAGTGCAATGGCAACGTCCTTGAACGATGGGTACATGCAATGACAGATAAGTGCATGGCGGATGCGTGTATCGACACATACGTGCATTGACATACATATATGTGTGTTGATGAATGTGTCTGTTGACAAATGCGTGCGTTTACGAAAAAATGCATGGACGAATATATGCATTGAAAAAGCGTACAATGATGAATACTGAGTTATAGAGATGAACCAGATGTATTATTGATGCGCATTGTCATAAAGTATAGTCTTATTTATTTATTTATTATAGAGGTTAATGATCCTACACTGTTACAGGATAATTTTTAATGAGAGATTATACGAATTTGTATTATATTCAGCCATTATATCTATATATATGTACGCATCGACGCTACAATATGTAATCGACACATAACTGAAACTATGTTAATGACGTACAATCGAGTAAAATCTATTTTACATTTGACGCCCAATGAGCGATTCATCTTGCATACTGATTTTCGATTGTTATCATCTTGGTTTGACACTTGATTATTATATAATTTAATCACGATAGTTGATTTAGATATTATGAATAATTGCTGCCCTTGAACATTTAACATTCAATACGATAAATTGGCTGAAATATTCGATTGAATTTAATTAATTCAGAGGTTGAAAGATCTTAGTATCTAAGAATCATCTAAATACCTTATATACGAGTTGATAAATATAATTATCATAAATGAATAATAATTATGAAGAAAAGCTTCATTATGAATTAAATTTCATGCCTTTCATGATTTTGCGGAGTTGAAAGCAAAATCGGAGGCTGCAATAGTCACTAAAGATCTATGACTATAAATATTAACATTAATTTCAAGAACGTGCAAAGTATTGAGAATGCACGAAGCAGCCAATAATTGTGAACAAGTATTGTCCACATTAGAAATTGAAGCCACATTAGAAAGTGAATAAGCTAGACTCTATAATGAGTACCGTACATATTTACGAATGACGAAGCAAGTCGAAATGACTGTGCTTATAAAGATTCACGAAGTTAGTTCGTGATGAGAAGTTGCATGTCACCAAACGTTTGTCATGTGGGGTTGTGAAAACGTTACGAAACATTGATATAGGCAGAGAAATATTTCTGTATCACTGTATTATTTTAAAATCTAGGTAATACTAATTTACTGCTGCCAATGTCTATGCAATATCATTTTTAACTGTGCAATGTCGATTTAATGTCTATTGAGATTTTGAAGGCAATACTTAATGATTCTACTGTAAATTTTTCTACCACTTTATTAATGAAGATAACGTATATTATCATCCCAGTTGCATTAACTTACAAAATAATAATATAAAAAAATTTGAGATGTCTAAGTGATTGCAAATGTATATATAAATTCTTTAAAAGTAGATTAAACTGTATCAATTACCTATTGTATCAGTTACGAGGAGATTAGCACTTTGGCGATCATGTGCAGTTCAAGGAGTTCAACATCACAGACATGCTTACGTCTCATGAAAATTGCTGCAAATAAGATTTTCTTCTCCCGTACCGGATGAGAAATATTATAGTAATCTTCACTTGATTAGGAATAAGAATATATATGTCCATAGATAAATTACACGAAGCATAGGTAATTCGGACATATAGGAAATACTCAGGTCGTCTAGGGGAAAAGTCGAGCGACACGACGCGGGTTGCGGCCGGCGGGTATTTAAGCCGAACGGTCGGACTGCGGAGTCAGTCCTGTGCTGGAGTTCGAGGCATCCGGCCGCGGTGTTTGACTTTGTGACGCGACCAAAACTGAGGGTCGGTGCAGTGTGGAAATGAGTTGAGACGAAAGGGCAAACCGTCAAGATCTTTACCGAGTGAACCGCCGAGTTTCTGCAACCTAAATTTACCTTACCTACGAAGAAACCGTGAAACCGATCTAATAAATTCTCTGATTAGTTATCACCGAGCAAAGAAGCTACTACAAAGAGTCTACGACCAGATTGCCGCCGAGCGTACTGCACCCAAACGACGCGCCAACCGGGGGAACACCGCGGGAGCAATTCCCCAGGACTCCGACCGAAGCGTCGCCGTCAGATTGGCCATGGACTCTTCTTCACAAACCCGGTGATGTACCAATGTGGAAATTGAGATACCAGTATTTCCGTGTAGCAATTGTGTTTTGTTCTCGCTGCGTTAGAGTCTGAATTAACCATTCCGTGCCTGTTAGTAATTGTGTCTAGTTCTTTTGTCTCATTGCCAGAACGCAGGTCTACGTTAGATTTCTGTAGGCTGTCCTATGTCCGAGTCTTGGCCACAGTGTCCCAGCTCTGTAACTAGGTGTAGGATATCTTTCTTTTAAATATATGAGGTTCAAGGTATCCATGTGTTGTCATTTATCTCTTTTGTTTGTCAAGTCGTCGCTGACCAGTTGGGAACCTTTACGTGTAGAAATTTAGGCCACTCGAAAACCAGGGTTGAATAATCAACCCGACATTAGATAAGTTTAATAACAACCGAAACGAGCTATGCGCTCTGATTGATCCCGAGAAGTACATTGTCGAAGTCAAAATAGAGATCGAGAAAAAAAGTTCACACATTTTTATAAAAATTCCAGTAGTCTCTGAAACAACCTTAAATTGAAACTTAAAAAACATAATCACACTCTATTCAGCGATGTCAATACCTACTTTGTATTGAGTTGATAATTTTGATATGAGAATGTAATGTATTTGCAGTTGCATTACTAGTATTATTTTGTTGCAATTATTGCATTACTAAAATGCATATCTTTTGCAAAATACAATTATGTGCAATTTAATAAGGAGAAGGATTATTTAGAATTGGCTATGCTTGTATCTGTGATTATGATAAATGCGTTATGTGGATCATCGCGTTTTATAACGTTTGATCATTTCGTGCTAGATTTTATTATTCAGACAATTTCATATTGCTCATAATTCGTGCCACCTAATGATTACATAATTCACTTACATAATTCGACCGCAGTTTACTGAGATTTTTTTGCGATGAGCTTGTAGAATTCAATGACGTAATACAATTCAATTTAATTGAATTCATTTCAATTCAATTGAATCCAATTCAATTAAACGACGAAATTAACATGTTGATGTCATTGGTTACACGAACGCAAAATTTTTTAAACGGTTTTATTTTTACCGTATATGACCGTAAATGTTTTTATAGCGAATTTTTGCAATGTTTACAAGCTAAACGATGATGTTTTGCATTGTAAGATTTGATCTTTTTTGCACTCATAGATTGGATTTTTTGCACTCAAAGATTTTAGTTACATTTCAATTTAAAAGAGGTGATTCATTCGCTTTAAACTTATCTACCAATAAGCATTCCGATTGAATTTGCAGCAGTCAATTAATCATTCAGATAAAAATGTCTGTTATTTTGCTAGCATTTGCATTGGCAATGTAATAAAATAAGTGAAACAGACAATATGCAAATATTGATATTCCTGTTTGACAATTATGATGCGTTCATATCATTAGAATTTTATGAGTAAGAGGAACATGTAAAATTTTGTGCGAGCAATTTTATTTGCTATTAATTGAAGCTCACCGATAATTAAATGTTTCACATATTCATTCAAATTTAATGTATTTAATTTGCAGTGACTCGGTGTGAGCCAATAGATCAATCCTAATGTTCATGCAGCTCAAAATGTTTCTTAGGTTGTCAATAGATACCAAATTACCACCGACTGATTTAAAAGTGAGTCGCAGTAGCACTTGAAATTTGCGAATGAGTAATGTGTTTCTATAAAGCCTGAACATAAATAATAATAATAGTGGTTTCAGCGTTTAGTAGGCCGTAGGCCTGTCGCTGATTCTTAACATCGCAGAACATTCACAGCTTGTTGCGGTCTCGAACGCGCAACTCACTGCTCCAATTCTGCTGTGCTTAACCGCCCGGCCTCCTCGCCGATTCTGACCAGAAACTGGCGCACAGAGCTGGGATCGAACCCGCGCCTCTCTGCTCCAATCTTGGTACTCTGAACTGTAACCACTGCGCCACCCTATTTTAGCCTATTAGACTTCTGTTTACTCACTAAACCCTTTACATCATTTCTGTCACCTTCATAACCAGTTTCTTATTTTACACTTGAATTTGCCATAATAGTTTTTTTGAGAGAATTCATATTATTTATAGGCGTGTAAATAAAGCTCACACCCTCACCAAGCAGATGAGCACACGGGTCGCGTGTTGCCAACATACTCGCCTGTGTAATATACCTGTTGTGTATTAATTATCAAAGCTCAAATTGTGATCAATTTCTTATCATTAGTGCTTTCATTTACTTAGTCGTGGATGATAGTACTTTATTCATAATAAAGGCAGCGCTGAAATTACACGCTTTGCAAAATTCCTTATTAAATTAGACGATCGTCTGGGCAAATCATACAAGTTTCACTGATAGAAACCGACATTTCAATAAAACCTTGAATAATTTAACTGACGCCCAATAAAATCTTGAATAATTTAACTGACGCTCAATAAAATCTTAAGTAATTCACGTGAAACTTAAATAAGACCTTAAACAATTCAACTGAAATTTCAATAAAACATTAAATAATTCAGTTGAGGGCCTCAAATAGCGTAAATAGTAGCGAATTCAAGCTCAGTCAACCAATCATTTACGGCTTGTCAATCTTGACCAGCCAATCGCAGAAAAGAAATCATAGGCCACGTGTACATAGGCTACTACATGTACTCTAACGAATGTAGATAATACGGCCCAGGGAATAGTTTTATTTAACGCTAAAGAATATAACTTGGCTATTTTATCGGTATAACACACGATTAATAAAAAATAACTGGCTATTATCAAACTATGATAAAGTAGAAATGCGGCAATTAAGTAGAAATACGGCATTATATTGTTTCTTAGCCGCTCGTATATGCAGAACTTGCCAGCTGAAAGTGTGCCTATAATGAGAATAATCAGGTTCACGCAATTAAATCTATACGACTTAATACCTAAAATCATTGTAACATTTTAATCGAAGTCCTACTCGAACACTTGAAAAGGAAACAAGCGTCAAGTAAGGGTTTTTAAGAAATTATCATACTACATGGCGTTCACTAGAGTGCTTGTCGTCTTAATGAAGGAACTGGTTAGAAGAAAAAGTGCGTCTAAAATTAGGAATTATTACAACTACCAATAAAAACATAAATCAACTAGTACATTAAATAGAGATGACCAAAGAAGTACATTACGTTACTTCTCAAAACTCAGCCAAAATCGAACACATACTATGACTTGAAGCTGAGGCCGCAACTCGATAACGCTTACATTAAACTGTCATTTTCACGGATAAGGCCTATTGCATTTGTGCTTACATCTTACTATGCTTAACTTTAAAATATATTTAAACCTGAAATACTCATTATTTCTAAATACGTAACAATTTCCTTCAAATCTAATGATCTTGTTCTATTTTTGTGATTATTTTATGACAGACGATATAAATTTTCGGATTTGCTGTCCTTTTTATAATTTTTATACCAAGCTCATGTCCCGTGCAATGCAGTATTACTCAACATCTTGAAAATTTGTTTTAACTTCCGGCTTTTTTGTTCGTTGTAACGGTTTTTTTGTCTTCTCTCTTTTTTTCTAGCATGAGGCTTTCCTCGTTTAGTAACTTGAGTTATCACTATTTTCTGTAACTTGGGTCATCCTTCTCTTCTGTAACGTGGTTGTTCCATCTTTTCTGTAATTTGAGTCATCCTTCTTTTCTGTAGCTTGGGTCTTCCCTCTTTTCTGTAACTTTCGTCATCCATCTTTTCTGTAATTTGATTCATGCTTCTTTTCTGTAGCTTTCGTCTTCCCTCTTTTCTATAATTTGAGTCATGCTTCTTTTCTGTAACTAGGGTCTTCCCTCTTTTCTATAATTTGAGTCATGCTTCTTTTCTGTAGCTTGGGTCTTCCCTATTTTCTATAATTTGAGTCATCCTTCTTTTCTGTAGCTTGGGTCTTCCCTCTTTTCTGTAACTTTCGTCTTCCATCTTTTCTGTAATTTGAGTCATGCTTCTTTACTGTCTCTTGGGTCCAATTACGGACGGGAACTCACCAGAGGGTTATCACTTATGCGCAGAAGAGTGCATGTAGAAGAGTTTTCATACCTATAGGTAAATAATGCATGTCATTTACTGGAGTATGAAATGTATGTATATGCATTAGGATGCGAGAGTTACTGCATAATATATATCAATCATCTAACCCCAGCAAATAATTAGACTTTACATAGCCACGCATCTCTAAGTTACACGTGAATATAACGTTCACAACGTTCCAGCGCAATTCCTCAAAAATGACGTTACTTCAATTGGTGGGTACGTAACAAGTTTTACAACTTAATTTTATAAAAAACAACAATATTACAAATTTACTAACAAAGAAATGAGCTTTCTAGTGAAATGTTCAACTCAACAAACACCAATACCCCGCTATAATACCATAAACTTGCAATATAGCATGCAAGAAACATTTAATGCAAGTTGATGCACTATTGATGTATGAAATTGATGTTGTGGCATCTCTGCGATGAAGAATCGAAAAATTGGAGTCGATCAATTAGAAATTACATAACTTGCGAAGGTTGCAATCTTCTCACTCAAAACTTTCTAAATGATTTTAAAATGTGAAGACTAATTTTCATAGGAAATCAATTTCAGTATTGAATGAACCAGAGCCTCTGAGTGCGTAGTTTTTTTCATTTTCCTAATTTAGTAAAACATGCGAAGTCGTGAAATTTGAACTGTGAACTGTAATATAACATTTGCTGTAAAGGAGTTAAACAACATATTCGAATGCATAAAATCAACGTATTCAAATAATAAAGACTCGCTAGACGTGCTTGTTGATGAAATGATTCAAGGAACTTTGGTTTGTACGGCTGCTACTCACCTGTTTCTGGTGAATCGCGTTTGGCCGCCTGTGGCACTCCTAATACCGTTGCTGTGCAGGCGCGACAGGAGTTGCGTCATTTCACCATCATCGAACCGGCAGTTAATCAGCCAAATGTCGTAGAATCTGAAAAAGTTGTTGCAGTCAATTTCACAAGTGTTCATCATATTTCTGTCCAGTCTACACGCGCATTCAGCATATCATGCTGAGGTGCTAAAAGTATCTCGGATCGACGATAGTTCAGTCAACGCTCAAACTCTATCAGAATGTAAATACCTTTTTACGAAATTATTATTTTTTATTTTATTTTTTATTTTACGAAATTTTACAAATTTTTTGAGTTAGGAGTTAATTACCTTTTACTCCTGGGGGAAATTATGCATATGGCCTCGGCAGTTGTTTCCCAGCTGCCAGTTTCTCTGCCGTACACCTTCAGCCACGGCGGTGGTTGAGATGGCAGGCGCATATCCTCGATATCATCGGCACAGTCATCGTTGCCTTCTCCATGGTTTTGCTGGAGTTCTGCTGACCATGTGGCATCCAGAGGCCAAATATGCACCACTGCAAAAATTAAAATGTGAATTTTTTGAACTCATCACTTGTTATCACGTACTAAATTTGTCAATCATTACGGTATATCTCACATTATATAATTGTAGTATTTGCTCCATTGCGAGTTCAGGTGCTTACTGTATGTCTGAAGAGAGAGGTTGCCTTATCAATAAGGTCGTTAAGCACTCACTCAACTGCTCATGTCGGCTGTTCAATGCTTCCAGGTTGAGAGGTCTGGGCAGAAAGATGTACAGTTCTGATTGATCTGTAGTGACAGAAGCCACCGCGGTGACAGCAGCCTTTCTGCTAATGGCGCTGTTCAAGAATTTGAGCTCACACCTGCACGTGGTACGTCGGAGTTGTTAGCTGGCACTCAAACACTGGCCAGTACCGCGTCAAATTGTATTAGCAGTAAAGTCCAAGTTATTGACCGACTGTAGGATTAATGCGAGAATGTATTTCTGTGGAATTTAAAAGCAAAGAAAATAGCCAAATGAATTGTTTGAATGTGAATTTTAGGTTACTAATTGCTTGTACCTGTGTTCTAGGTTTTGAACTGACGATGGAGCTGGACTCCGAAACGTTTTCTCTTATAAGAAATGGTGAAATTTTTGGCTTTTATCTTTGCTTTTAAATTCCTGGTAAATTTGCGACTTAAGCAGCCAAGTGATTTTAATACTTGTATTTCTGTGTTTTTGACTGAACGAATGGCAATAGGAATAAATATTTATGTCTCTATGACTGAGCCATCTGCCAGGAGTCTGGAGTATGTTGACCATATGCTTATACTTGTACATGGTTCTGACAAAGTCACATACTTAACTATTAGCATTATCCCTGACATTCGGAAATCCTGTTATACCGAATCCAGTTATTACAAATTTCCTAATCCCAAACAATCAATTCCTAACTCCTGCACCTTGGATTGCATCATCCCGAAGCCCGTCCTGATACGTTAAGCACCATGGATACGCGCGCATGCAACCCTAAAGTGATAACGACGTCAGAAACAAACAATTCAAACAAACACACAAACAAACATAAAGAATGTATAATATGTTAAGGCCGAGGCAAGTTTGGTTGCAGTTGACTTGGGAGTCTATAGTACTATGAAGGCCAGGACGAACATATAGCTAGGCCACCTAGGCCGCTACGTGTACTTGGGCCGCTACGTGTACTTGGGCCGCTACGTGTACTTGGGCCGCTACGTGTACTTGGGCCGCTACGTGTACTTGGGCCGCTACGTGTACTTGGGCCGATGCGTGTACTTGAAAAACGTTTCGATTTATAAACCGCCCCCTGATCCACTAACTTTGAGCCTTTCAGAAACTCCAACAGATCGTCACAAGGTTCGAGTCTCGTCGCTCCCAAGTCCAGCTTCAGTTGCCCCTTGTACAGCCGAGTCAAATTTGACCAGCTGGGACCAGCTTCTTTTAGCTCAGCAGGTGACAACTTGACATTGATGAGATGGGGCTGCTGGTGTGGCAACATCAGCGAGACTACCAACACATCACGAACTAGGAGCAAAATAATGAAAAATTAATATTGCGGAAGAAATGAATATAACGAAGGTTGCTTCGGAATATTTCATGGAAATTTACCGAGTTTGCCTGTTGGATGGCTGTTACGAATATTTCTATTGGAAGAAAAACAATATACTGGCGAAAAGTACATCATTAGTTTCAAATTGAAACCTACGCATACAAAGCCGTGAAGCTAACAAAATCTGAGGGGAGCGAGAGCTTCTGTCAGTAGATGGCGGTTTTCAAAAGTCAGGGTTTAAGCATAGCATAAAAGAATAAGCACAAAATCAATTTTATTAAAGCCATGCTAGATTATCAACATAGTTTCATGGTTCGAGCTAATAATTGTGAATGGATAGATTGGTATCAGAATTAATGGCCTGAGGTCTGCGAAAAAGGAAATAATAGATAAAAATGAATTAACAGTGCAGCAAAAATCGGAGCAAAAATTGTGCTTCAAAATAGAGGCCTCATCTACCAAGTAGCTAGAAAGCGGTTAGCTAAAAAATGAACTAATTAAAAAAAATTAAAGTCGGAAAAATTCTAGGGGACTGGCCCTTTTCGGTTGGGATTAGTTGTTTATACGTATTCTCAAAAGATCACCGACATGCAGGCTGGTTTGGTTGGTTTTTAAAAGACCTGTTATAAAAATCAGATAAAAAAATGAGTAAAAGAACTAGTTAGAAAAATATCAAAAGACCGGCGCGACTCCTGCAATGTGCCAAAATGTTTTATATAATAATATATTTTTAAATATATTTATTTTCCTCAAAGTCCAGATATAGAGAGCAATAAAAAGCTGGCTAAGCATGTAAAATCATAGAATGTCGCCTCATTTATGAGCGGAGTTACGTCAATTATCTTAGTGAAAGAACTTCGTAAAAAACAGTTCAGCCAGCCTGGGCTCACGGCTGTGAACAAGGCCATTAGGATAATCTCTCAAATTCGTGAACCCTTACATTGATTCGGCGGGACCCTGCGGTTTTATATCAATTAATTGGTTTGAAATAATACCACTGGTAAGTGAAATTATTGCTCACAAATTCGTGACGTCCGCAACTCACTTTTTGTGATCTTTGCTGGTCAAAATTCTTATTTCTAATGAGAATATCTATGATATTAGTACCTTTAATGTATTTGACTTAGTTATAGCTATAGCTAGTGGATGTTGATGTAACTGTTGTGGTGGAGACGATGTAAAATAGAGCTGAATTCAGCAGAAACTTTTCATTACGTTAACAGTTTAGGATAGAAACTGCCTGGCGAAGAAATAAATGACAGTCATGCTGATGATTGCTTAGGATATAAAAACTCGTACAAGGCACAATACGTTCTTGAATACTATAAACAGTTCAAGTGTGAACAAGAAACTCAAGATATAGAAGAGTAGGAATGAGGAGCGTAAGATGTAGAAGAGTAGGAATAAGGAAAGAAAGATATAGAAGAGTATAGGAAGGCCAGGCAGGATGAAGGCATTCAAGTTCAACCGACAGGGACGCTAGTTAAATGAATGACCGTTGAATGATAAGTGTTATCAGTTGCAGGCCAAACGGCGTGCAGAAAATTCTCAGATAAACGACTACACTAACAATAATTCTCGGTGAAATTAGTTTCTTAATTCGATTAGGAGGAAAAGTGAAATTACGCCTAACACAAACTAATTTTGTCGATACAGTTAATTGTGCGAGTAAGATAAAACTTCGTTCACACTAACAGTTATATAGTTTTAACAATAACCATCGCACATTATCATAGTTATAAGATATTTGAACAAAGCATTACTGGCCGAGGAAGTAGTGGTGATTACGGTTCCAATGCACGAAATGACTGGAATTTTTCCCTCTGCTAGGATTATCCGCTTTATGCAGTCCTTTGCAACTGTGATTGTGATTCTAGGCCAACCTCACTAAATCAATAATAAATTCTATAAATAATCAATCATACTCACCGGAAGTAACGTTCCACACTTCAGTCTCACGGATCGTGATCTCGGCAGCATGCTTTGCCAGTTCTTGGACTTTTGGAGCATGGAACAGCAAGTTCTGCCACTCAGCGGCACTGACGACACCTGCGTCGGTTATGGCTTGCTCCAGATCAGGCCAGTGCTTCTGGAACATCTTAGGTCTGCTGCTCAAGTCTTGCATTACGTACTCCAGCACCTCTCGGAGGCTGAAATAAAAGTGATGCAATAATAGAAATTACAGTGAAATAAAATCATTTGAAGGAAATAGTAAGTGAACTATACAAGACTTAACAATAGAAATACTAAAGATCTGAAAATTAAATCTACTTGAAGAAGAATTATTTTAATAATTACTTGTCACCACCAAACTTATAGAAGGGAAAAGGATAATTCACAACTTGTAACAGCAATAGTGTGCATTAAAACCATTTCAGTTGAATGGTGTATTGAAAAGTTGAAATTTCGAAAATTTAATGAGCATTTAATTTTTTATAGACGGGACGGATTTAATGTCCGGTAATAAAATTATCTTTAAAGTTGAGCTGATTAAATAATACCGGAATTTATCGTTTAACGACGTAATTCATTGTTACATACCGTGACTTCGTTGCTACGTCCATCGGGAGTATTCCTGGGAGATCTTTATCCTTGTACAGCAATTGATTCGTAACGTAATCGGCTGCGAACTTTTCCTGTAGAGACTTATGTGGGAAAGAGTACGTTGCAGCAGCTCCCTCAGAGAATGATGAGTTTGGTATCAACAGGGCATCCAGGAACACTCTCATGTCAAGCTCCATCGTGGCGCCGTGAGTCTTAATTTCGTCGTAAGCAAGTTGGTCGAATTTCGAGATCTCTTCTTCATTGAAGGTTATTTTGTCCTCCACAAGAAATTCCAGCGCTAACTGTCCAATGACAATGAAGAGGTTGTCGATTAGATGTTCTTTGTTGGGGATATCTTTATCGGCGAGTTTCGTCTTTACGTTAGCCTTATGAAGCTCTGATGTATCTCTTGTCACGTCGTTGTAGCTTCTCCATTGATCAATTTTAGCAGGATTCTTCTCGTAGATGGAGCAGAAACTCAATAGAGTCAAAGGTTCCGTGAACATCCTTCTCAAATCTGCGTCCAACTGGATGAATCGTTCTAGTATCATTCCAGCACACTCGGGGTTCCTGCTTGGGCTTTCTTCATATCTCTTAAGGAAAGCCAACTGACTACTGGTTTTTGAGAGCGGCGCAATCTTGTACTCCTGAAAATTGATGTCTTTTACAGCAAGAAGTGTCTGGAGTTCTTCAATTGCCTGTGGACGAGTTGTAACGAGTATGAAAGAGTCAGGATGCCAGGTTTTTTGAAACAGTTCTCGTAGGACTCCCATGGATACTTTGTTTCGCTCATCGAATCCATCGACCAAAAACAGCACGGGTAGTCCAGAGATGGCGTTCAGGACCCTTTCTTCTCCCTGTTTGACACACTCATCCCCGAAGTGCTCACAGAATACTTGATATAGTTTTTCCTTAGTCCAGTCATTGCATTGAATGAAGACAAGAAGAGCAAAACGTTCCAGGTAAATCAAGTCGTTTTCCGACAATTTTATGAATTGTAGGATTATGTTCTTCAGTATTGTCGTCTTGCCAGCTCCTTTTACTCCCGAAACAACTGCGATTTTTTGGCTGCATTCAAAGACAGCTTGGTACTGGAATGAATTGCTCTCATCTTTTGGGAGAGACAATTCCGGTGGATGGAACACGGCTGACCGTTCAGCGTCACCCAAGTTCATTGGTAACTTTTCATTGACATATTTACGGAAACCGCGCTCTGCATTCTGTTTCCCTTCGGTGCGCAAACGGTATTTGTCGTACACGAGCTTTTGATCACCAGGAACAAAATTGCTGCGCATTTCGTCTTGCAGCTGTTGCTCCAATAAGTTTATCTCGTTCAGGAAAGAATGATAGCAGGTTTTTGCTTCATGAATGAACTCTAATAAGGCGGATTTGATCTTCTCAATAATTGTTGGGTCCTTCATAGACGCGTACTCATGCATAACACAATTTCTCAAGTCTTTGATTTCTCTCAGTTTTTTCATCATAAGATCTTCTTGGTTTCTACTATGACTTGTTTCCTTGAACAGAATTGAAAACAATGAAAAAAGTTCGGTCATGTCCATGTCGTCGGGAGACGTTGCAGTTTGGAAACGACGGAAAGAAAAACCGCACATCCTTCTCAATTCCATTCGAGAGATCTCTGTGCCTCGGCGTCTTTCAATATAGTCTGTATAAGTTTCTGAACTATCTTTATCCGAGCACTCGATTTTCAGAATTTTCCCGATGTACTTGGGGCATAGTTTCAAAACTCCAAACACGTTGGCGTTGAGAATTTCCATATCCTGGAAATTGACGTCTGCGGACGACGCCATCTTGCTGGTGCCCTCCTTGTGCATGAAAGAAAAAGTTAAGACAAAACCATCAGTCACAAACAAAAATTCCAACAATAAATCGACCCGTGTTTCGCAGAACCAATTACACATTTGCAGCAGCGTTACATATGAGCACTGACAGCCAGTTACCCGATGAAATTGAGCTATTGTATTATCGATACGAATTCGATCACACACCGTAAGTTTTAGCTCAGTTCCGTGATTTTCGTATAATAATTAATTTTCTAAATGTTTCTTCTAACTTTAGAAGAAGCCAAGCATCACAAGCGAAGTCTTGGACAATATTTGTCGTTACTTACATACTATACAGTACGATTATTGTATTAGATATTACAATTTTTCAATAATTCAGCATCCCTCACAGGGTTGCCTAGCAAGAACATTAAAATGACCCGTTTATATAAATCATAGAGTATCAATCTCAGCTTAATTAAATTTGCTGCACTCGATTTGTTCTCCGTTTCTCTTAGGAATGGTAGGGTCAACCTCTAAAAAAACAAGATGGAAGAGAAAGAAGTTTTCAGACTTCTATCGTTAATAGAATCGTTAATGTCGGATATGTTACCTTCGGTGCAAACATTCAATGACGAAACGGCACATGCTACAACTTCAAAAGACACCATGGATCAAGAGGAAAATTTCTTTAGAGATGAAACCAAAATACCGAAAACTATCTCTGTTAACAGAATGGTCGTCAATAACTAAAGGTGCCCTGACGGAAGACCGCCCCATCACTCAAACCTTAATAAATAAAGAACCATAACTTTACCCTAAAGGTACCGTCACACGGGGTAATAATTTACGTCAGTGTTTTTCGTTAATTACTTCTTACCATGAAACAGTTCATAAACGAGTTTGGGCTCATTTCAAAGTTCTTTGGCTATCGTTTGGCATCTCCGAAAAATTCCATATGCTATTTGTAAAGTGCCAGATGCAAAATAAAAGCATCCCAAATTAATGTAGGAACGGGGTAATAAGGGACACTTAAAATAAAATTTAATTTTAAACGTTTGAAGCATGCAGGGTGTACTCATCTATTACTAACAGTACTCTGAAGTCCTTCTCTTCCTTTGATGATGTAGATGTAGAGTAAATGACATTTTCTGTAATTTTTACTTGTTTTTTCCTTTTTTGGTATGATATTACCATATCCATACATTACCGTATTATTGATGTGATATTACCTTTTCTACGGACATGCCATTGAGCAGTGACAACGACCTTGTCCACTGCATGCTTCGTATCAGCAGCCGTACAGCATTTCTTCTGTATCTGTAAGCTTACAGGACGGCTTGTGATTTTGCACCATCCTAATTGGGCCTTGTGAATACACTATAACAAAAAAAGATCGTGAAAAAATACTTAAAACAGAAAAGAATATTATATAGACAACCATCATATTTTTGGAGAAATAAATAATAATTTAGGTTAATTATTCTTCATTCTATGTTGCCTGGTGCACAATTCTATCTATGACATTCTATGCACAATTTTGTGAGGACCGATGATGAATTTATTTTTCTTTAAATAAAATTTCTTTCGCTGAGCGAGGTAAATGTAATCAAAATTCTTTGTCAATCAATTTTTTTGTTAACTGGAGCCTATGCTAACCGGGGTTGAACTGTAAATGCGTTTTTTATAGGGGGTCCCTTATTACTTCGGGAGGAGGGTGTCCCTTATTGCCCCATCGAGCGGAAATGGCCGCCATTTTTTTGAATGAGATACGCAAATTCCGTCCATCTCGTTTTTAAGCCAACACCTGTGTGCAGTTTTTGTATAGGTAAAATTTTTTGAAACCTCAAATATTTCTTTTGCTACACACCTTAGCAGAGGTACTTTTCCAAAATCTCACTTTTCACACTTTTTCAGGCATTTTTGTAGGATTTAACTGTACGATTTCTCAACTTACTTCATCATTTATCCTACATAGATAGGAAAATCATGAATTTTATGCCAATATTTTTAGTTTTGCGATATAGCAATTAGTTTAGCTGCTACAATATTTCCACGAAATGTCGGAGGACAGTCCCTTTTTACCCCGCCCGTCTCTTATTACCCCTTTTGACGGTTTTTCTCTTACACGCAGCATTTCTTAAAAGATTGGAAAAAAGCCATTCGATAATCCGAAAGGGACCTTACTCGTCCATGGAATAAAGAAATTGAGTCCCAATTGAACAGTAGTAAGCTAGAGTGGTGTAAAATAAATGATCGAGCAAATTATTATAAAGCTCAACGGAAATACATAAAGCCGTTATGAAAATGCTCGAAAAGTTAAAACAATCAAACGACTCCGCTGGCAAACCCATCAAAGAAAAAGAAAATGATCGGACAGGATAATTGTACAAATAAAAACAAATTCGGCTCCCTATAGGAGCCGACAATGCCTTAAGAAATGATATTAATTTTTAATTTTTTTTGTTAGATGATAGGGGCTCTCTTCCAGACCTGTAGCGTTGTCACCGGAATATGTAGATAAATTTTCTGTGCAAATGAATATAGCAACGACAAGACCGGCATTGGCATCCACCGTTTGATACGCACAGAATCCATGCGGCTCTCATAGTAGGCCGAGACCTGGAGCGCATTTCTTACAAAAGCGCGTCTCAGGAGAGAACCTCCACATTTGCAGCTCGATTATTGATTTTAGCGTAGACCATTACATTTGACCGAAAATGTGCCGTATTCTAGCGTAAGAACCACCACAATTCAAAAGCCTGCGTTTTTGAAAACGTATAGTAGAACAGCGATAGGTCAACAATATAACTATATATATTTACAGTGGCTTGCAAGAGTATTGGATACATTGCAATTTTCTTCATATCTCAAGTTAAAGTGCGAGTTTTTTTTATAATATTTGGTCAGTATATTGCTAATGGTGCTAAAAACATTATATAGAATGGACATTGAAAAGTATGCATTGTTTAGATTTTATTAAACAATTAGAAAAATTAACCCACGCAAAAGTATTGGGTACATGTTCAAAAATAAACAAAAATAACTTTTTTGAAGTACTCAAAACTCACCGTTCACTTCAGACGTTCCACTAACCTCATAACGTTATCTAATTGGCCAATCAGAGCAGTTTGCTATTGTTTATGAGATTTTTTGTTCCGGTGAAGATATTATTCAGCGTCATCTTTAAAATCTAATTTAAAATGGCTAAAACTCGAGAGTTGGCGACATATTTGCGTCAAAAGATCATAGATTGTCACAAGAAACGGAAGGGGTATCGAATAATATCCAAGGAGCCTGAACTATCATTGAGTACAGTAGGAAATATCATCAGGAAACAATTATCCTGATGATATCATCCGAGCATGCTTTGCTAACCTCCCAAAACCTGGTCGTCAAAGGAAACTAACGGACGGTAATGCAAGGTGGATTAGCAGAAAGGTACAGAAGAACCCGTTTGTTGCTCGTGGTGAAATTAAAAGTGACCTGGAGGAATCTTGGATTGATGTAAATTGTAGAAAATGACATTTTCTACAATTTACATCAATCCAAGATTCCTCCAGGTCACTTTTAATTTCACCACGAGCAACAAACGGGTTCTTCTGTACCTTTCTGCTAATCCACCTTGCATTACCGTCCGTTAGTTTCCTTTGACGACCAGGTTTTGGGAGGTTAGCAAAGCATGCTCGGATGATATCATCAGGATAATTGTTTCCTGATGATATTTCCTACTGTACTCAATGATAGTTCAGGCTCCTTGGATATTATTCGATACCCCTTCCGTTTCTTGTGACAATCTATGATCTTTTGACGCAAATATGTCGCCAACTCTCGAGTTTTAGCCATTTTAAATTAGATTTTAAAGATGACGCTGAATAATATCTTCACCGGAACAAAAAAATCTCATAAACAATAGCAAACTGCTCTGATTGGCCAATTAGATAACGTTATGAGGTTAGTGGAACGTCTGAAGTGAAAAGTGAATTTTGAGTACTTCAAAAAAGTTATTCTTGTTTATTTTTGAACATGTACCCAATACTTTTGCGTGGGTTAATTACCACGCTTTTCTTGACTTCGTTTCGTGTCTGTCTGTCATCAAAAATTCAGACTTTAATTTAGAGCTCTGCTGAACATCCTAAAAACTTTGAATTTGGCAGGCATGCTTATGGTGCCTAACAATTCAAGATTTGATAATCAGAAATAATAATTAAAAAAAATTTCAGAAAAAATAGAAAAAAAAACACGAAAAATTCACGGTTTGGAATTGAGTTTTTCTGGAACATCCACACTTGCCAACACTGGAAATAGATTTCAATTGCTAAAATTGCTAACTAAAAAGTAGAAAATAAATAATTATAAAAATATTTTTAAAAACCACGTTTTTCTGGTTTTTACAAAACTAAAAATAATGAAAAAAACACGTTTTCTTAACGGACAAAAAAGAAAAACATTTACTCTTACATATCATTACATAACTTAAATGTTATGTAAGAGTAAATGTTTTTCTTTTTTGTCCGTTAAGAAAACGTGTTTTTTTAACAGTTTTTTTATTTGTTTTATTTCATTATTTGTAGTTTTGTAAAAACCAGAAAAACGTGGTTTTTAAAAATATTTTTATAATTATTTATTTTATATTTGTTTAATAAAATTTAAACAATGCATACTTTTCAATATCCTCTCTATATAATGTTTCTAGCACCATCAGCAATATACTGACCAAATATTATAAAAAATCTCGCACTTTAACGTGAGATATGGAGAAAATTGTAATGTATCCAATACTTTTGCGAACCAATGTTCGCAAAAACAATCTTTTTAATAACAAAAACAATCTTTTCAATAAATAACGACAGATAATGAACTAAGCCAAATACGTTAAGGAGCACTTCTGAAGCCGCTAACCTAACCTTACATACATCTTACAAGTTTCGTAAAAATTTAAACCACCGGGAGAACGCTAAATAGTGAAGCAACGCTCTGTAAAACATCAAAAACAAAAAAATATTGAACGATTTCACTCAGGTTGATTTGATGCAAATACGTGAATAATAAAGCTCGACTAAAACGAAGAAAAAGTAACTTGGAAAAATAAAAAGGCTCGTTACTTTACACAATATCCAATGTCCTGGACTGAGCCAGTTTTCATTCTATACAGCTTCATAAAAAACTATTAAACTTGTAATTATCTCTGATGAAATCAAAGTTCATCTGAAGGGAAGAAGGCCACTGGTTTCTTGCTTGTCTCATCCTTTACAAAATTTTTGTGTTATCAATTCGAGTTATTTTGTAATTACATGTATTATATTATGCAACTCAAAAATCATGATCCTTTTTCCTATTTCTTACCGTTATTTCAGCAGAATTTTGTTTGTACTTTAATTGTTTGCTCAGGAAGGTTCTGCGACAACTGATGGTGTGTTTGCTCGCTTGCCTATTCAAGGGTGTCAGATATGATAAGTTATCAGCATCTCATCATTAATTACATTTCAGACCTATCGAGAGGGGCAATTAATGGACAGGAAAACTGGGAATTTATTTCTCAAGTAAGTAGATTTAAAGAGACTCTACTTACTCGTAGTCGTATATCTGCCTAGTATTCACTTAGAAAATTTAAAATCTTCTAAATTAGAAGAAAGCCTAATTTAAAGCTACATGAAGTAAAAATTACTGCTTGTAACATATAAGGATTTGATTATTTTTTATAGGAATCAGAACCTTTTATTAATGTACTACAATTTCTCTATAGTGCAAACATTCATGAGTCGTTGAATTGATTCAGCTGAATTATTTGCATCAAAATGACAATTGAAAAACTCAAACTGATGTGGTATTTTCTGCAATCAAGCATGCGCGTGTACTCATGAGAGTATTTTTTTTGCATCCAATCTTTTTGAAATTTCGGTCACGGGAAGAGAGAGGAGTAATTATAAACCTGTTCTGTCTTCTCTTGAACAGCGCTGGAAGGGCGAAATTTCTGACGTAAGCAAAATATAACGAAATTTCTGCAGAGTAAGCAAAATATAACGGAGTATTATTGGTTCTAATGAGATTGAAAGCCGAAGTAAAACTGTGGTTATTAAGGCAGAAATTTCACAGCAAATAAAATGGTGCTTTAAATAAGTATAAATCGCCATTCTTTTAAATTATGTGCACCAACTCTACGACTCAGGAACGTTGTTGTGGGCTCAATCCTTAAGCCAGCTAGGCCCAAACACTCTTGCTCGTTAATGGCTCGTGTCGTCCTTCAACCCCCTTTGTCCCCTTCTCCCAGGGCTCAAGTCATACGAGAGTTCTTAGTTAAAAGGTGTAATTCTTAAGTCTCGAGGCTTCCCTGAAAATACATCAATAACAAATCAACCAGTGCAACCCAATAGACTCATAAATAAATACAAATAAATACATAATTGAATATCCTAATTTTAGACAAACACAGAATATATTTCCACCATAGTTTAAAGCCTAAGATTTCACGCCTATTTACACACACCCTGATTACACACGACACCCACCTCCTTCACGGTTCCGCACAACAATGACAAGTCTGCTATTCCTAACCCGTGCACGTAACAAACAGATTTCTCTAAACCTAAAATTACTTGTCGAATATAAAAATACTTGATGAATTAAAATCTGCTCTATAAAACCCCAACAACGTTTGCACCATACAGCATATTTTTTGTGCTTTAATGAAAGGATGCTCGAAATTAAATCCTAGGATTAATCGGAATATTATGTAATATATCACAAGCACTTATTATATCAATCACTGTCGTACGTAGGTTGCAGATATAAAAAATCGAAGTAAACTTCTTGGAAAAATTGAAAGAAAAAAATTGCTTATCGTTATATATTGTTGCCAATAATATTAGGAAAGTAGAATTTTCTGGTATCGTTTCGAAAGCTATAGAGTGCAATTTTACCCATATGTTTCTTGTGTAACAAACAGATTACAGGGTTTCAGAATTTTTCTCAATTGGTTAACGAGCAATTTCACACTTTTTATTTTAAATTAAGGTCTGGGAGTATAGATTTTAGGTTTAAAAACATTCGGTAGGGTAGGAATTATGGAAGGCCCTCTTCACAAGAACTGTACTGTGTTCATATATTCACTCATCAAATACCATAAAAGATTCTACGAAGCTAGATAAAAATATGGTATGTGGATGCTTGATAACCCCAAGGTAAGTTGAGGTGCACTCAAAATAGAGTAGTGGAAATATGTCTCAAAACATACCCAAGTCAACTATGCATAGGTAACTGCGTGAAAATGAAATGAATTTAAATATGATGTATTGGGAATTTTCCTACGCATGAGGCAAGGCTTCATTATTGGTTTTCCTAGGTTCCCTTGGAAATAACTGTTAGAAATAAGGTTCCCCTTATTATAGTATCCTCAGTTGACAAAGTTAGGAAAGGTTTAAACGATTAAAGGACGTTAAATCAAAGAAATTTTATTCATCTTTGTTGCTGCAGCTGCGAGGTATTCGTAGGTCGAAACAGAAATATCATCAGGCCAAAAATTTAGTTCACTCGTTGCGCCTCCTCCAGAACGTAAAGATAACAGGATGATGCGTGTCCAAGAATCGACCTTCAAGGTGTATACTAGAAACAATGACGTACTCTTTGTAAGGAACAATAATATATAGCAACTCTTGTAGCAGTATATCAGTTACCATAATCTATATACAGACGGACTGATATTTCACCTTATTCAATTAAAATAAGTGGTCATATAGCACTTTTAGATGTGCGGTTGATTGGATAAACGTAAAATTTTAAGGAAATGCTCCCTTCAATGCGCTTTCACAATACATTCGTAGTGATGATTGATGTCTCAGGACTTGCATTACTCTTAATTAACTTAGATCTAAATCTCAAGATATTAGATTTTAACTTTATTTTCCATGTCAAATTCTGGCTAACGCAACAATACTAACCATTTGAAATTGGCTTTAATGTTCAATTAGAAATGTTGTGAGAGTAAAAAAGAATTTTGTTTTATTACAAATCGATTCTGATTCCTCATTCAACTTTACAAAAGGCACTTCATGTAGTAACTTCTTTCTTACCACTTACATTATTGTATGATATAATATTGATTTTGTATTTTATTGTATGATTGTATAAAATTCTCTGATTCTCTGAAGTTAAAATCAACTGTTTGCAAAATGACGTGTGTAATCTTCACACAGATGTCAACCTCATTATTGATGGAAGTGTACTCATTTCTTACGCAAATACCAAACAATACATGGAATTATTGAATAATAAGCAAGCCCGCTGAGATAGGTTGTAGGACAACAGATTAAAAATATTTATATTGATCATAATATAAAGCTTTATTTATTTTGATAGTATTTATAGATATTGATATTATTGATCATAATAAAGCCATGGGCATATTGCTTCAGTGCCGACACTTCTAATCTATTCTATAATGATTACAATAAATTATAAAGCTTTAGGCATACACCGAAATTTTTTTCGGTGTAACTTTTTCTTCTGCTTTTTATTTTTTTTTATATTATATTAATTAAATTAATTACATTAATTTGCATTAATCGCACAGAGAGAGAAAACAAGAGCAGTGTCTCTCAACCGCTTTTTATTTACAAATAAATTTCAGGTCAGAGGTTAGGGGTTTGCTGACATTAAAAAAATTAGACCTATACAGTACACGTGTGAATTCTACTTCGTAACATCTCTGCGATTGCTAAGCATTTCACAGCATCGTCATGTTGTGTAATTCGCATCTTCGTTATATCAATTGTGCACGTTGCATTATAGTTACATTATTTGAATATCTCGAGCGATCAATGTATTATTTATGCACTATGCAACAGCCTTGGGCCAATTGTGAATTTTCTATCATAGTTACGGTAGTTTTTAGTAAATATAATCGTTATTTTAATAATATTTAACATATTGCTACGTGCGAGGTGCCCTTCGTATCGTTGTAGCGTCAAATGCGTCTTTCGAATCACCTATACGTGTATACTTATATTGTGCAATTGGCATAGCTTATGCCTCAACTACTGGATCACGTGAATTGGATGACATTATATTTCAGCAAGGCTCAAAATGTCAGAGTAACTACAATAACTCAGAATTTATGTTATTGTATAAAATCTTTTAACCAATAAAGGTTAGAAGCCAACTGCAAATCCTTGACCCTGATGGCCTGACCGCGCATAACGTCACAAGTTCAAATGATAAATGACGTTGTAAACAGAAACAGTTTTTTATCATTAAATTATTTGAAATTTCGTAAATCTAGCGGGTTACATTTAATGCATCTTGCAGAATCCGCTTAAATTATTTCTCTTGCATGACATTCAGTCAAGGAGAATATCTTGCCGGTGGATCATCGCCGATGTGTAGCTTAACATCAATTCTGCAAAATGGATATTGAATGTGAATTGAAAAATATTGTGTCGCAGCCCTAGTAGCATGAAAATGATTTAACTTTGGCACCGCTTGATTACTGTAGAAACTTTATACATCACCTTTTTCTGTTGTTGAAGTATAGCCTTACACAAGTTCATAAGGCCTCAGGAATAGTCTTGCTGAACCTTAATTCTTTTTCAATAAACGTTCACTACCAAACCAAACATGCCTAACAAATCGAGCAATCAAATCAAATCTGTGGACAACAGATTTAATTAATAAATTAATAATAATTTTCAGGCTACTCACCCATTTAGAAATTCTGGTTATTGGTAAGCTTGCGTCAAATAGGATTTTTTACACATATTTAGTTATGTTTAATTAGATCGTGCAGAAGTGATGTATTTGTATCATTTTATCCTTGCTCATCATTTCTCCTTGCACATTTGTATCATCTAACTCCTTGCTCTCATTTACTGAATATGCATCACTGTACATGCGTAAGTGCTTAATACATTTACTGAATGTGTATCATTATGTTTGTGATGCATAAATTAATAAGAGTCTCACCCAGCGGGCACGCAGCGCGTGGCGTCCTCGTCGTTGGTCCTGACTCGCTCCTCATGTAGCAGCGTCAGCAGCCGCCGCTGCTCCTGTTCGCTTAGCGCTGGGTTCCACAGTTGGAGGTGCTTAAATCTGGAGTATGAGTAATGATTTGATATTGAATTTAAATGTATTTATGTAGCGTAAGACAATGAGTGACTGAATAAATTGAAAGTTTTTGCTTTGAATATGGACAAGGACAGAAATTTTAAAGATGAAATTTTCGAAAATCTTCAAAAATATTTTTATTAATATATTTTCATTCAAAAATATTTTTAAAATTATTAAAAATATTTTCAAAAACAATTTTGTCGTAGCTCATTCAGTGAATCACTTTTCAATTTTGATCGTCATGCTACTCCCTCCACATTTGAATTTACTCCTCAGTGCAGAGCATTTTATTTATTCATACGTTTTAATTATTTTAAAATCGGATTTATATTAAAGTCCCTTTGCGAGCACTCTCAAAACATAAATTATAAAGCATGCATTTGTAATTTGAAAGTTCAAACGAGCGTTGTTTCAAACGTGGGCTTAAAAATCTTGAGGATTTCGAAAAAGCGGTAAAGAGAATTTTTTGCAGGAACGAACTAGTCATTCAAAAGTGAAAAGTTTGAACTCATTTAGGAAGAATAAATCATAAATTTTGCAAGGAACTAACCGAGTTTAAAAATTATTTAACAACCACTTCATCGCCTGTGTTTCCCAAATCTTATTTTTCTAATTTTTTTCTCTTGAAAAACATTCATAAGTAAGTGACTTCAATAAACAAACAACAATAACATTCAACCGATATCAACAATGAACTCGATACCAACAGTAAAAAGCAGGTTATTTTGTATCGGAGAAATTTCTGGAAAACAAAATATAATCATATTATAGCTTGAGAATAACAGGCACAGATTATTATCCCTCACCCAACCGACCTCTTGCCTCTAGGAGCATACATCAGCACCGTCTGGGCCACGGCCTCCCAGCTGCCAGCAGCGGCGTCCAGCACCACCAGGTCAGGAGGAGGCTGGGCCGGTAGGCGTACAACCGCCACATCGGTTGGAAGCACTGGTGTGTAAACGACTGCAAGGATAAATGCTATTCAAAATCTGAGCTGACTTCTGAAATCAGACAAATGAAGATTTGGAGGGTAATATTCATCGTTCAGGAAGAATAATGCATCTGTTTGGAACCCCCAAGAAATGTACGCCTGAACGTTACATTTTCTCTTTGGCAGAAGATAGACCTCAGATGAATTTGGCTGATTCGGCAGACGAAAAACTGTAGGTATCCTTTCGTTTTATTTCCAGCTTTAAGCAAAGCGCTTCAGATATAACTTTTTCATGAATCTTTATATATGACTGTATGATTGCATACTGAGATATGTCAAAATGGTCTAACTCACTTTACAATCTTTCAATCGTTTTCAAAGTTCAGAAGTTAAATCTTGGACATAGTTTCGTCCCTGTTTAATTTATATTCATCAATAATTCCGACTCTGCTAACTTCAACTCCTAAAATTGACCGAGGTCTTCGTGCAAGCCACTCAGTGGAGTTAGATCGAGCGGAGCCTCAAGCTGCAGGTGCAGGTACTTCGTATGATCACGGCTTGCCCCTGAAGCCAGGGCAGCGATGCCCTCTGCTGTCTGGATGCAACCGCGGAAACCAATGATCTTGGACCTCAACAAGAGAATAAAATTCTTAATATTGCTGACGTTAAAACATTCATAAGTGCTGGATATGAGATTTGCAATGAATTCCCAAGATGAAATCAAATCTGTGACAGCACAGACATAGCCCGGCAAGAAAATTTCGCTTGAACGGCGTTAACGACACTGAACATCAGGACTTTATTGATAGTTAAAAAAATAGTTTGTCTTCTATTTTTTAATGCAATGATGGAGGATAACTCCCAGCCAATTCACAAGAAAAATTTTCAGCTAGTGCTTGTAACTCTGGCATCCAAATTAGCTCAGAAATCGATATTAGGAAATTAAGTCCAGTTACATCACCAACGTCAATTAAATGTAATTTTGATAAATCAACGTGGCACGAAACAGAATTGGATGAAATTTTCTGAAAATTTTGTTGAGACACATTTTAAAAGTCAAAATGACCAATAGCTACGACAGGAAACAGGAATTGCAATTGCGAAATTTATTGTGGGAGTTCACAATGTTTGCGTTGCAGAACACCAAGGGGCGCATGCCGGAGGCCAGCATTGCCAAACTTCACACTTAGCTCATATTCCTTTACGTAGGTAAGAACGCTAGAGGGCATAACAGCCTATGAAGTTAAGTGCTCAAAGCCAAAGCGCCGGATGTCCACAGCCACAGCTTAAGCTTGCTAAAGATAAGCATGGCCATACTGTATCTGGTATGGCCATGATGAGCATGGCCATACTGACCGAACCTCTCGAGGCCTAACATATGTTGCGATATTTTCCACCGAAAACAAACCTGAACGGACCTAACCTAACCAAATTGGCTCAAGGAAGTTATAAAGGCGGTCCAAGTGAGCTGATAGAGCCAGTCATTGGCTGTAAGAAGGTTGTGAGCCGAAACAGCGTGAATAGGTTAGGCCAGAAGAGGTTAGGCCGGAGTAAGTACAGCCGGATGAGGAACTTGCCTGCTTACGAGCGAACATGCTTTAAGCATTGCTAAAAACCTACGGCGCTATTATCTTTCGGCAGAGTGTAGCTTGTCTGGATTGCCGAGTTCAAGCATAGTCTGCGTCTTCTAGCTCTGAGGCTGAGTAAAGTAACTCCATGGTGAAGCTGAGCGTTGGCTGCAAGGCTTATTTAAGAATGAAATTTGTGGCCTACGCTGGACCCCCAACACGAGTATATTCATGTTCGACACCAAAGCAAGTCAATTTTGCTGGATCATTTTAGTGCGAAACTTTGACTAGGCCTTTCTGAAGTTCCGAGCATCAGGCAACCTACGGAAATGAGAGCACATCAAATATACTCCGAGGTGCAGTAAATAAATGTATAAAATTCTGATAATGTGTTCAAATATTTCTAGAATTGAAGAAAAAGGACGGTTAGTCATTCACCTGCTGGCGAGCAGAGGCCGAAGTGAGTCATCGCAAGGTATGAATATACAGTCGGGGTCAAGAAGATGAAGGGTCATGAATCCTGTGTGCTGCTGTACAATCTGTTTCCACGCGGGACTTTGTAACGCTTCTGGTGGCAGTTCAACCATTAAATTCATTCCTCGAACGTAAGGTAGCATCAGTGGAACTGCAAGCAGATCAACTTCTGCAAAGGACGAATTCTGATTGATTTTTATCAAGATTGAAGGGACGATCAATTTTGGAGAATGACATTTTTCTTAATAACACCGTTTAATGAATATATTAGTCAGGTTCTAACCTTTGCAACTACAGGTTGCAAGTATCGTGGAATAAAATCGAAATAGATAAAATTTGGCAAGAACGTCCATACAGCGCGTGCCTGGCACTCGTAGTTATTATGTTTAATTAATTTTGTCCAGCAAGGTCAGAAATCTTACTTCTCCTGATCTCGAACTGCCCGTCTTCCCCCAGGCATTTCACTGCTGCGAACAGGGCAATCTTTGCCTCATACGGGCGGGTTAGAAGCACCAGTCGCCAATGCAGTGCCGTGGCACCTACTTCCTCCATCCTTCGCTGTACCTCTGGCCACTGGTCCTCGAAGTCCCCGGGTTTGACGGCCCGTACATCTGCGATGACTTGGCGAACGACTGTCTCAGTCCTGCAAGGAATTACGTAACAAATTACACATATCTGAAATGAGCTTAATACATACTTTATTACCCCTCTCCCAGGTTAAACGGAACCAGATTTCGCTTTGGGTCTCACCCACGTCCTTGCTTACTCACCACCTTCGTCGCCCATCACATGCCGCCCTACGGCGACGTCGAGAAAGCTCGAGGTTACCAACCAACGTTCAAGCGCATGACTACCTCCACTCATTGCAGTGCTTCTATATAACTGTACTATACGCAATTACTGAATGCAGGGATGTCATGTGAATATGAATCATTAGGCAGATATGTAAATTAATGCTAAACGTACGTTTAGCAGGTAAAAAACGAAACGCATAATATGTAGTGATGTCTATCCATGAATATATTCTTAATATCGAAATTATATTTTACCTCAAAGATCTAACCAAATGGGAAAGTCCGTCATGAAGATGGAATGGAAGTTAGTTAGTTTAGTGGCGAATGTTTACTAGCGCTTCAGATATTTAGCTATCTCGCACCGAAAGTCAAGGTCTCAATTATTCATCACCCACAAGGGGCGGAAGGTCTCAGATGTCCAGCCCGCTGAAGCTGGCTCGAAGGAAGCAGCGTTAGCATCTCAAAGAGACGATTAAGTGACAAGGAGGGACAGGTGAAAAGCAACAGAAACTAAGACAATCGAACAAGAGGTCGCTTACACGGGACGTCGGCCGCCCGCACGAGAGAGACAGAGAAGGGAAATGTAAGGAATCCTGCATACATAATAACTTAACCCCACAACTGAGACCTACAGTCAGACACCGCGAGCTCAGCGGTGGGGCGCTCAGGAACAATCCCCCTAGGAGCGCGAAATCCCATAGGACTTCTGACGAGCACAGACACCCGTCAGAAGTCCCCCCTGAGGGGAGATGGAATGGAAGAGCATTGAAATTTCAGTTTCACAATTTCAGCTCACTAAAAGGGTGATGATCAAAGTGAAATCGGTATTTGTGATTCACCTCGACAAAAGGTGTACACTGTGTAGGTAATTAAAAATTTATGGGAACGTTAAAAATTTCCCTTTGAAATACCGCTAATTTGCGGAAAGTTAGGTTATAATATGAGCTCAAAGGGATAGAATCGAAGTAAAAGGGAACCAACCCTGTCAAAATTTAGCCGCGGCAGACGGTCTGGTTTCGGTTGTCAGTCTCGGATTAGAGATGATTCAGATGTGAAATGGCCGCATCTCATAATTAGCCGCCCAGTAGGAGCTATTTTGGGTAGTTTCATGGGAAAAAATATAAGGGTCAAATGACACACGAAATCAGCGGCTGGCCAGGCCACCATTGGCTTACCCTGCTCAGTAGCTGGCCTGAGTTCTTATAGCGCGAGCGTGACAAGCCCCTGCCTTTAGTTGTGGCGCTGCATGTGCATTGTGCATGTGTACGAACTTATCAACACGCTAGCGTTTCAACACTATTGCATTGCGTGTACGTAGACATGCTTGCGTTTCGTTATCTACAACACGCTTGCATCGAGTGCGTGTTGCTCACACGAGTTGCGTGAGATTCAACACGCGTGCGATGCGTGTCTGTCAACGCGCTTGCTTTGCGTGCGCATAGAAAAACACATCGGCATTATGTTATCTTCAACACGCTTACGTTACTGTCATGTCAATGGGGTTGCTACTAATGCTCGCCGACGCGCGTTTTCAGCAGCGCATGCGTGAACAGGGCTATCTTCAATACGCGATCTAAAGCGGACATTTCGTTTCTGTTAACACGTATGCGATTTGCGAATATGTACAACAACACGCGTGCAGTACGTTTTCTTGAACACGCTTGTGTTACTTCTATTTCTACGTACATATGTGCGTCGCGTTCTAGCAACACGCACAAATTGCAATTATAAGCAAGGCTTCAAAACTCATGCATTCCAGGGAAGACTGATAAACAACCCCAAAATACTCCCTATTCTAAGGTGGGGTTACCCGCACCCCCTACCCCCACTACCCTCCCACCTCCGACGCTCTGCACCGGCTCTCTGAATTCTGAAAACTGTCAGTAGCTTAGTGCATTTCGTGGTGTCATGTGGTTAATTTGACATGCTTCTCGTTTCCATCGTGTACCCTTAGTGTGAACTGCGATGCAAGCTAATAGAAAATAATGAAGTTTCTAAAAGCTGAACAAGCTAATTTAGGAATCTTTAGGAACACAACTTCCTAAGTGTTTAATGTCCAGTGCCTCCTAAAGTGAAGGTGTTTGGCGGTTAGAACTTGGAGCACACGACGACATTCAAGAACACACCGTCGAGCTTCGAGATTTTTGCTGAAATTTTTAAATTTGGGGCATAATGACACGAACGTGTTATTTCAGCTGTTCGTGTTATTATACTCGAGGTTATAATTTCTGATACATCGGCCAAGACATCATCAGGATCGTTTGTGGACTACAGAACCGAACGCTTAGATTCATCAAGTCGGTTAACTTCGAGTTGAGTTGTGGCATCTGGCAACCTTCCCAACTGGTCAGCGCAGAGCTTGCTGCTGAAGACGTGTTACAACAGGGTTTACAGAGCAGAGCAAATTTTAAGGTAACTAAGTTGCACGGTTCCGTTATTGTGAACTCTATTCGAATTGAAATCAAACTATTGGTATTTGCACGTGTGTATTTCGTGAGTTTTAGGTACACAGGGTAGGGAAAAATTGCATTTCCGTGAATAATTTCACTAGAGATATTAGGTATATACTTCATACCTGGAAACAGGAATTAGCTACCTATATTGAGAATTGAGTCTGCTATGTTGGAATAGTTAAAATTAAGCTCTGTAAATACAATAGGCTGTTTTTTGCTATTACTGTATTTTAGGAGATTTTTAAGGACTGATTCAACTGATTATTGCGGGAGAATGCTTAACAGTATATGTGAATATTTGGTGCTCGCGAATATGAGAGAGGGTTCAATACTGGTTAAGGTGAGATCATATTTTGCTCAGCCGTACGTGGTAAATGTTTGGTCTCGGCCCCTACTACCGCAACAGGTAGGAGTGTTTGGTACGGGTAAATGGGTTGAATGTTTCGTACATGGATGATGTGGGATAATATTGAGCAGTGTTGAATATTGGAGTATGTTGATATTTGAGTGATACTGCATACTGAAGAATGTTTTGTTTTGGGAAATGTGTGAGAATGCTGGCTGCTGGTGAATATTGAAAATTATTTTGCTCGGGCAATGTGCGAGGGTCTTGCAATTCTGGAAAATATTAGAAAATGTTATGGGTAATTTGGAAAGTCGGGGTTGAAAGTTTTATTAACTGATATTATTCCCCTTTCAAACTCGTGTTTACTTGTCACTTGCTTCATTGTGCCGCGATGATACATGTCTAGTCTGCTCATATATATATAGCGTACAGCGATTCAAATAACCCCCTCCCTTCCCCCCATAGAGGGGGGGAAGGGAGGGGGCATTTTTTTAACGCATTTTTCAGATTCGGCCGTGTCTGTCCCGAACGTATCAGGTACCGAATACGCGCGCCCCACGATCGCCCCAAGCTCGACGGGTATTTCACAAGATTCTCTTTCGGCGCTTATTTCGCTCCGGCAACCGGAACCTAAAGCGGACATAGAGCTTCTAATTTACACCGCAAAAATAACTTGGGGCGACCCTGAGCCAGCGGCTGACAGGCATCCAAATTTTGATAGGGAAATCTCATTTTCAGCTCTGTGTGACAATATGAACCAGACAACGTTATGAATCCTGACACAGTGCTGAGTTTAGAAGCTTTCTACCTTAAATATCGTAATAGACAACTTCATATCAGTCGCTGCGATGAGTCGACTATTAATACGCCTCCCAGGTACTCACCTAGTGCAAAGTAACTGTATATAGGGCTACTCACCTAGTGGGGTCTATGAGGTCGTCTCCTATGTTGAGCACCACGTCTCCCAGACTGTCATGCAGTAGGTGTTGGAATGTTCAGTATTAGGTATTTGAACAAGATATGGATGATGTTGCATGATAAACCATAGGGAGCAGATGGAATTTAATATATAAAAAGCCTTATAACTTCCTAAATTGATTACTACAAAACCAGAAATTATTATGAATAAATTCAAATTAAAAGTTGAAAATATGCGGTTGAACAAAATTTGAAGATTTTTATATGTTCAGTAATTTTAATTTGTAAAAAAAGGCAAAATCGAAGTCCTAGTGCAGTTTCAAAATAAAATATTAGATTTAGATTCGTTCAACGGGATCGTCTGATATTATAAATATCACCATAAATATGGATATAACATGAATATCCTAAATATCATGAATACATAACCTATATCACCAGACACTTAACGAGACTTTTCACAGGTTAAGTAATCCTTTAAATTTTGTGAATACCGCTCCCGTCACAAAATCCTGCACTGTTAGAAAAATGACCGTTAACGTGGTATTACCGGCGTTTCAGTGGCCGGGTCGGCACGTGAAAAGAAACACTGTGTTACCGTTTTTATTCCAATTTAACACCAGAAATCCGTAAAACATCTGATAAAACGGCTACACAGTTTATTTTCACGGGGCGACCGGCCACTAGGACGCCGGTAGGACCGCTTTTTCAACGTTTTTCTAACTGTGTGTTCTCTGATATCGACACTGTACTCAAACTGTGTTCTCTGATATCAACACTGTACTCAAGTCGTGTGCGTTAAAAAAACTTTATTAATTGAAAATTAGCGAAACAGGTTCTCAAAGAAATTGACCGTTTTTTCACATCCCTTTTATGATTCCTCACAATTCCACCACAAAAAACTTTTATCCAGTTCACTTGATTTCTCGGCTAAGTCATATAGCTGTACTTGAAATGCAAATTGAAATACAAAATCTATTTACAAAATCAAAATACAAAATAAAAATGTAAAATAAAGCAATTTATATATTTACTACTTTACTACTACTATTTACTATTTATTTATTTACCTTACTTTACTTTTTCTTTACTTTATTAAAAAGTAAAGTAAAAATAAAGTAGAAAGAAACATTCATGATCAGATAACGGAGTTATGTTATCTTCTTGCAGTCTCTCTACGGTAGTAACTAATATTATTGAAAATGCTGAGAACATCCGCATAAATAATGAAGTATGTGCGTACATAACATCATAATCACGTAGTTTCGCATGCACATTATACCTCCTTAAGTTTAAGTCTCGATACAATATTAAAGAAATAAAATCTTACAAGTATTGCTGTATGAACTTCCTTTAAATGACAGAATGACCTCTGTGTAATAACTTCCTTAAAAAAGTTTTGTAATCAAGAGTCAAGGATCGCTTGTTTGCTCCTATAAAGATTCAATAAAAAAAGTCTATCAAAATTGAACGCAGTCCATGGTATGTTTTTATAGAATTATAAAAGCTCCCGACAAATTTGTCTGTAACCGAAGAGACTCACGCGTTTTTTATGTATCGCGTATGGCCGCCACTGCAGCTCCTGATGCCAGCGCTGTGCAGTTGTTCCATTAGTTTCCAAATCTCATTTTCCTGAAGCCCACATCCGGGCATCATTATTTTGCCAAATCTGTAGAGCGGGAACGGTTCCGTTGTTAACCTTTTTGGAAATAATTTTACTTAGAATTTCTCGGTGTATGTGCTAATGCTTAATACGAGGCATGTTTTTTAGGTTAGGACCGTTGTGGAATTAAAGAAGACGGGCAAAGATATCGTAATAATTTTATTTTGACATGAAAGGATGTACCGTAATTTACTTTTCTACATAATTTCCGTGAATATTAAGGCACTTGTCATAACGTGGCACCAGTTTTTGAATGCCCTCCTGGTAAAATTCTGCCACCTGACTTGGAGGTGAAATTCTGCTGAAATTCTAAATTATGCTGAAATGGAGGTAAAATTCTGGTAAAAAAACGCCTGAAATTCTGACGCATGACTCGTCAGGAAGAAGAAATTTCAAGCGTTTTCAGCAGAATTTTACCTCCAAGTCAGGCGGCAGGTGCTTGCCAAGGGGCTAGTTTAAGAATTAATTTGTTTGTGTATTGTTTATTTACCCAACCGACTGATCGAGAATGGCGTAAAGTGCGTTTAACTTTTTTACACGAATCACACATGTTAATCAACAAATTATTTAAGTTAGGTAGTTAGAAAGTGTACAGACGTTTTCCCGACGGGAGCAATTGCACGGATGACTCCAGCAACGGTCTCAATGCAGCTGCCAGGATCGACGAAGAGTAACACCAGCTCAGGCGGTGGCTGGGCTGGCAGGCGCGGTGACTGGGCTTGGCTGGATGCCTGAGCCCAAGCTGCTTCCATTGGCCTTATCTCAACATCTGTAAATGAAACGATTGACAAACAGCCTTAATGTTCTCGTATTTTTATTTATTAAAGTTCTTGTCAGTTTTTAATTTGAATAACTGCCAGTTTATGCCGATACGGGTGGCATAATTTACTTATGTCAAAATTCACACCAGAGAGAGAACATGTCAAAATTCACACCAGGGAGTGTGTATGCATAAGAAAGCGAAAATTGTAATAGTTTAAATTCAAACCACTAACTTAGACGCTTATATTTTCCTTGCAGAGCCTCTAGGTTGAGAGGGGCGGTGAGGGCGACGTGCAGTTCTGTAGCGGCTGTAGAAACGGACGCCACGACTGCGACGGCAGCCGCACTGCTGATGCTGCTCTTCAGCTCACTGAGTTGACATCTATGAGTTACGAAGTCACTTAGTAGGCTGACACCTATGCATACCAGTAATGATAATACAATTAAATACCTTTACACTACTACTTAAATACCCTTTTAAGACTGATCGTGAATGGCGTAAAGTGCGTTTAACTTTTTATACGAATCACACATATTAATCAACAAATTATTTAAGTTAGGTAGTTAGAAAGTGTACAGACGTTTTCCCGACGGGGGCGATTGCACGGATGACTCCAGCAACGGTCTCAATGCAGCTGCCAGGATCGACGAAGAGTAACACCAGCTCAGGCGGTGGCTGGGCTGGCAGGCGCGGTGACTGGGCTTGGCTGGATGCCTGAGCCCAAGCTGCTTCCATTGGCCTTATCTCAACATCTGTAAATGAAACGATTGACAAACAGCCTTAATGTTCTCGTATTTTTATTTATTAAAGTTCTTGTCAGTTTTTAATTTGAATAACTGCCAGTTTATGCCGATACGGGTGGCATAATTTACTTATGTCAAAATTCACACCAGAGAGAGAACATGTCAAAATTCACACCAGGGAGTGTGTATGCATAAGAAAGCGAAAATTGTAATAGTTTAAATTCAAACCACTAACTTAGACGCTTATATTTTCCTTGCAGAGCCTCTAGGTTGAGAGGGGCGGTGAGGGCGACGTGCAGTTCTGTAGCGGCTGTAGAAACGGACGCCACGACTGCGACGGCAGCCGCACTGCTGATGCTGCTCTTCAGCTCACTGAGTTGACATCTATGAGTTACGAAGTCACTTAGTAGGCTGACACCTATGCATACCAGTAATGATAATACAATTAAATACCTTTACACTACTACTTAAATACCCTTTTACACCTAGAGACCGTGTGAGAAAGAAGGCAATTTGATGCATCTGGTTGCATAAGCTTACGTTGCTTTATTCAACCTCGGTCGTTTTTTATTATTTCTATCAGTTTCTGTAATTTCTGACAGATTACGAGTAAAAGATAAACGAGTAAAGTAACTATGGTAAGACCAATCGTAAGGCTTTATTGTGCCCACAAGCTGTAATTTAAGAATATGATTCTTTCATTGAACTTGGTAGACAAATGGCCGGTTGAGTTAACCAAGGAGATTCCAAATTACTAGCTGCACAGGAAGAATCTCGAATGAGTAGATGAAAAATATTTTAATTAACAATTTTATTTTCACTGACCCCTAGTGTTTAACGAATCGAAGGAAATACTCAATAGTGAAGCGTTACTGACCTGGAACCTCTGAGGCACTCAAGTAGATCGTCACAATTTTCGGGTGTGATATAGAATTCCACCAAGAAATCCAGCTTTAGCTCTCCCCGATGGATATGTGCTATTTCTGACCAACTTTGCTGCGCAGTGCGCAGCACTGCAGATGGCAGCCTAATGTTGATGAGTAGAGGCGTCTCGTAGGGCAACATTAGCGAAATTGCCGTCGCATCATTAGCTGGAGACAAAATAGTACCCTATTAATCTTTATGATATTTCTTTTAGATCAGGCAAACGCGAGCTCGACCAGTGGAGCTACGGTTGTGCAGTGGTGAGACATTTTCTCTATGGGGCACGTGCGCCTTAGAGAGATAAGACTTCGCCCATCTTCATACTTTAATCATATTCCTTTCCGTGGGTAAGAACGCCAGAGGGAATAGAGACCTCTAAAATCTAGTTTTTAAGCCACACCGCCATATGCCCACAGCCACCGCTTAAGCATGCCCAAGTTAAGCGTGGTCATACTGCATCTGGCCAAAGCTATTCCCGCCTAACCTCTTCAGGCCTAATCTACACACGTTGCAACATTTCTGCACCAAAAACGAACCTGAGCGCATATAAACTAATCTAATCTGGCTGCTGGATGTTAGAGAAGAGGAACAGTGAGAAGATGGAGTCAGTCATTGGCTGCAAGAAGGTTGTGAGTCGGGGCAGCGTGAATAGGTTAGGCCAAAAGAGGTTTGGCCACAGAAAGTGAGGTCTGATGCCGAACTGCCAGCTTATTAGCGAGCATACTGATGTTTTGGCTAAAGACCTACGGCGCTATTATCTTTAAGCAGTTTTTTACTGGCGTGGATTACGTTGTTCCAACGTAGACTGCGGCGTCTATCACTGAGGCTGGGTAAATATATTGCATGCTGTGGCTGAGCGTTTGCTCCATCGCTCATTTAGGAGTTAAATGTGTTGTTCACTGCTGCTCCCCATCTCTAGCACCCAGTGACCCGGTTCGAGTCCCATGCAGGTGAAATTCTTCCAGGAAGCTCAACTCATGGCCAACTCAGCCATTCATCCAACTCTGGTTGATAGATAAGAATATGGCTTGTCCAAGCTTGTTGTTTAATGCAAATAAAATGGTTCTGGAGGGTCAACGAGCAAGGGATGGTCGTAGAACTACACGTGGTCATAGGGTTACAAAAACTGGCCTATACTGCCCTGAATATTTACCCTTCCCCTAGTCGCCACTACCAGGACGAGTGATTCCCAGTGACCTAAAACAGTGGACGAGTGTCCTAGAACAGTGGTTCCCAAAGTGGGCTGTACCGCCCCCCTGAGGGCGGTGGAAAGATCTGGGGTGGCGGTGAGGAAGAATGGGGCGGTAGGGAGGCGGCACTCCGAAGTCAGAAGTTCGAACGTTTGTTTGACGATTTGTACTCAACACCTACAGCACACGGCTTCCAGTGATGGTTTTTGTAACCTCTTCTGGGTTTCTAGGGTAAATTTTTGAAAATATATATACCATTCTCTGTTGCTGAAACAGTTATAACTGCTAATATATATATGTTTACTAAATTGGGTTTTATTTGTGAAATACACATTTGTGTTTAGCCTTTCTCTTTTCAAATTGCAGCATACAAATATCGAGAAAGAATTGTTTGTTTCAAGATGTGTCTGTGCGGGGGTGCTAGAAATTTGCTGGGCAGCCAATTAAGGGGGCGCCAGCCTGCAAAAGTTTGGAACCACTGGCCTAAAATATGGCACGTCAGGCGAACCTGAATTCGCACTGCCCTCTAGGGTCTCTGAAACCTTGGTCACGTTCTTCAATACTGTGCCTCTGTGTCCGCCGTCACTGAAGAGGACTTGAACAGTATTCCAGCTATTAAGGAGCGCCCAGTCGGCTCTAAATTAACGAGTTTTGATATACAAAAAGAAGAGGTTCTCAAGCGCCTTATCGCTGTAAATACAAATAAGTCATGTGGACCAGATGGCTTCCACCCCAGATTACTCAAAGAGTTAGCAACTGTCCTAGCCGGCCCTCTGACGTCATTTTTTACCTCCCTGATAGCATCGTTGACGCTCCGAGTATGAATGCCTTCAAAAACAGACTAGACGGAGCTATGCAGGAGCATATGTTCAGTCTTAAAATGCCTAGCAAATTACGGACCAGGCAATAAGTCCAGCAGCTATCTCAATCCGTCAGTTATGGAAAAATCGGGTTCCAAAGGCCGGGTCCCTTGTGAATCAAGTCACTAAAAGTTCAAGAATCATCAACAGGCCATGGGCCTATTTCTTCAAGGCCGACACTTCTATTCTATTCTATTCTAGTAGGTCATTCATAAGTAATTATCATATTATTATAATTTATCAATTATTTAATACTATTATATTAGTCAATTTTGTCATAAATATGCCGTACCTGAGTGCACGTTCCAATCCTTAGTCTCAGCGATTGTAATCTTGGCCGCGTGCTTCGCCAGCTCAGTTTCATCAGGGTTCCGGAGAAGCAGGGGCTGCCAGTCTCGGCCCTTGACGACACCCGCGGATGTGATGGCGTCTCTGAGTTCGGGCCAGTGAATTCGAAACTGTGGTGGGTTGCTGCTGCTCAAGTTCTGTATGACGTACTCAAGTACTTCAACAAACCTGAAAAATGAAGAAACTGCTATGAAACAGATTAAACAGGAAGAACAGACACTGTATTTTATCTATCAAAAGCTCAGAAGTCGCTCGAATGAAAATGGTAGGCCCCGAACCGAAAGCTAATGGTGAAGAAAAACTGTGAACTCTCCAGCCAGGGGGAAAAATTGCGGGATAAAACAAGCATCACATTTTACTCTTAACACTTACTTATCCAGGTTATTCTTCACGACAGGCACAGCAATACGTGTTCCTTGTTGCATTGGTTTTTTAGATTTCTCAGTCTTTTGGCGAGTAGCAGTTCTGCATTGAGAGAAAAAAGTATGTGAAGAGTGGATCAGAACTTTTCTATACGGGACACAAATTTGATTCCTATCCCCATAACGAAAAATGAATTGAGGCTCAACGATCATTTTGATTTATTGTTGTTGCTCTATCGTTTAGTCCTCCATCGACGGCTACATGCTCGAATGGCAGACCCACCTTGGGTTTGATGGTGACGTGTCTCCCACTATTTTGGAAATTGGTTCATCAGTGTATACTAATCGCCCAGTAACGTAATGAGCTGCAATGATTTCTTGTAGTGATTTGTGAGCGAAGGAGTAGGTTCCAGCCATGTTTCCGGAAAGAGTTTTCTTCATTCTTAGTATGGCTGAGAGTAATACGTCACAGTCGAATTCGTTGGCACCGTGAGATTTTATTGTTCGATTGCATTGTTGCTTGAATCGTCGGAGTTCATCTTCATTGAAAGTTATCTGGTTGCATGCAAGAAACTCCAACGCCAACTTGCCAGTGACCATGAAAAGGTCGTCAATGAGAACATCTTTGTTTGCGACGATGATATCGCAGAGCTTTTCTTTCACAATTGTCTTCTGCAGTTGCAATATGTCTCTTGACACATCGTTGAAGCTTTTCCATCGCAAGATTTTCTCTGGACTCGTTTTGAAAATGGAGCAGAAATGCAGCAAACTGATTGGCTCGGTGAAGCTTCTCCGTAGTTGCGGATCAAGTTTAGAGAATCGCTCTTGCATCGCCCCTACGTCAGCTGGGTCTTTGGTCAGAATTCGTTCGTACCTCTCAATAAACTTTAATTGTTCATCCAGGTCTGATAGAGGAGCGATCTTGTACCCTGAGATCTTGCTGACGTTTCGAGCAACAAAACTTTTGAACTTTTCAACAGCCTGAGGGCGAGTTGTGATGAGGATGCGGGATTCAGAGTGCCAGGTTCTCTTTAGTAGGTCACCTATAACTCTCTTCGAGTTTTCGTTGGCTTCATCGAATCCATCGACCAGAATCAGCACGCGAAGATGCATCAGTGCTTTTAGAACATTCGTTTCTCCTATGTCCGTGCAAACGCGTCCAAAGTGATTCCTAACGATTTGCTGCAAGTTATTTGTATTCCTGTCTCTGCACTCGATGTAGACAAGGGTTTCAAATCCTTTTAGATAATTCGGTACGTTTGACTTAAGCCCCCAGAACTCTTGGGTTATGTACTTGAGTAAGGTGGTTTTACCAGCACCGACAACGCCCGACAAAATCACGATGCTTTCATTTGATGAATCAAACAAGTTTTGTAGCGGCAGCGCTTGGTCATCTTTGTCCTGCAGTGTCACTTCAGGTGGGTGAAATACCTCTGTCCTTTCAACGAGGCCAGCAGCCAAAGGGAGATCCTCTGTTGTAAAGTTCTGGAAACGAACTTTAGCAACTTCTTTCCCTTCGTTGAGAATGCAGTAGCAGTAGTATTCCATGTTTCGCACACCAGGAGGCAATCCACGGTGGATTTCTTGCTGCAAATCATCTTCCATTGCCCTTATGTCAGTTGAAGACAGGGAATAAAATTTACCAGCTTCTTGGATCATCTGCAATAATTTTTCCTCAATTTTCTTGCACGTAGTTGCATCTTTCAGTGCCTTGCCGTTATGTGTGACATCATTTCTAATATCCTTGACTTTTCTCACTTTTTTTAGCATTTCTGAAGTATCTCTCCCATCTTTTTTCACTTCAAAGAGACACTGGAATAGTGAGAACAGTTCTGTCATGTCCAAGTTTTCGGGAGTCATGACTGCTTTGAACGCTTTGTGCGAGTGCTTAATTTGATGTTTGTCCATGTAGCTCATGTATGATTCAGTGACTTTTTTATCTTTGCATTCAATATCTATAAGTCTTCTTGTGTATTTGGGGCATAGGGTAAAAATTCCATGTTTGTTTTTGCTAATAATTTCCATTTCCTGGAAACATGATTTGCTATCTGTTGCTATTGCTATGGTAGAAGCAGATGACGTGGGAGTGGAGGATGCAGATGTCGTGGGTTTGGAGGAAGCCATTATTCAGAAGGTTCCTGCAAATAAAACATCTTGCAATAAATTCATCACCCTAGGTTTCCATTACAAATAAATGGCAAGTTTTTCCTATTTAAGCGAAAACAGCAGCATTTTAAGCTACCATCACGTAAGTTTACATGTACGTTGTGTGACCAGTTCTTATAAAAATGCAGTCTGGTAACATCGTCAATTTTATATTCGACCTCAACTTTCCGAGTTGTATATGCTAAAAATAAACGAAATTTCTTCCAAAAATTCTTTAATTAAAGACTATCAAAATTACTGGCTTGAATGAGACTCCGCCTGAAGTATATTTTTTTGTCCAATAATCGTCGCTTACTGAATATCGAATATGAAATCTGAACAATAATAAATCATAAATACACAGATATGCGACTCGTCAAAATAATAATAAAAAAAACTAAACAACTAGAATGTATCCGTTCATCTCTAAATTGCAGAAACTAAATTTCATAATATTTGCTTGCCCTACCATTCGGAGCTATAATGATTTCTTGCAACTGGTCGTTCCATAACAACATCTATTAAAAGTTTATTTTAATGCTCATAAAATCATTTCACATAAGTAATGGTTTGTTGACTTGCTTCTTTGGCCAACTTTGCATGGAAGAGAATGTTGGCGAAATATAACCTATATCGCTTATTGGATGAATGAATTTGGGTGCGTCACGCAGTATTCGCGAAAATTAAGCAATTATCTAAACTATCGTATGGTGAAGGCGGACTCAATGAGGGGCGAGGAATAATACGTGGCCAGTCGTCGGCCTAATCCAATTAGTTATAGCCGACCGCTGGCCATTCCTCGGCCACCTGAAAGCGACCAGTTGCCGCGACAAAGGGTCTGGCTAGGATATCACATTATAAAGAGTACATGCTCGAGGGTAGCGACTGACTGAGCTTCGGGCAGATAAAAGGATTTTACACGATGGTCGCGAAAAACTCTCTCTCAAACTTCGCTGCATTCTGACTACCAGCCTTAAGGTGCTTACACGCGGGACTAGTACTCGCGGCGAGTCCAGTTTTGCCGGCTGAGAGCCTATATACACGAGGAGAGTATTTGGTTAACAGTCCGCAGGCGCCAGTGCATCATTGGGAGCTGTCGAGAGAGGTCTGCGCATGGTGGAATATGGAACGTAATGATAATGACGCGTTTGACGCCTCCAGAACTACGTACTTCCAGGCTGATGTTAGACAAGTCTGACATGCTACCCGCCTGCACAACATTATTATTAAGGAAGCAGTTGGTGGCGTAGTTACCACTCGTGCTGAGTAGGAGGAAAACTGTGCAGATCAACGTATATATAGAGTGTGGGTGAGAGGCCCAACAAAGTCTCGTTTAACTCTCGAAACACTACTTTCTCAATTAGTTTTTGTTGTAATTTTCATCGGACGTACATTCCACAGTAGATCGTAGTTTTGGAATATCTTTAAGGAAAGTTGAATATCACCTGTACACCTCTTGATGTTCTTAGAACCGTCGTCGTTGGGATAAGACACAGTTCATAACATCAGAGGAGACAGAGCAGCCCAAGCAGGATAGAAAGAGGCACACGTATACTCACTACGACTGCCGCAGCCCGACTAGACAGCACATAAGAATTTGAACTGCTTCGGGCACCAATGCATCTGCTACTCTCATCCGAAGAATAAATCATTACAATATTCGGAGTGCGAGTACTCGCACTGAATACAAGGAGTGAATACAAGCCTCGTGTAAATGAACCTTTACGCTCAGTTCAACCAAGCGCCCTATTAATCGGTTAGGCATGTGAGATCAAAACTACGGCAGTGTCTTATTAGCCCTGAACTGGCTAAGCTAAACTGGCTCCCTAAATTCTACCCGAAACTTTTGCACTACTTAACCCGTAATCCATTATCAATGGGTAACTCAGCCCAAATATCCCCTTACGCAATACTTTCTTTGTAATGTAAATGAAACGGACTAGCGGCATCATTTATGTACAAAAAGTGATAATATATTATAATGTATTATAATATAGAACTCATGTGTATAATATAATATATTATAATACAATATAATATAATATATTCACAACAATAAAAAGTTTAACCTCTGGGCAGCATAATCACGGATTGAACCAATATTCTATGAAATAAAACCTGAAGACATCCAGTTTGTGGACGCGCGAAGGGAAGACGAAGGGATTGTGAACTAGCAACATTATTTACGTACAATGAGAGATAATTAATCAATATTATTATTACAGGTATAAAGACTTATTTATAAAAATGACTTATAACAGGTATAAGTCATTTTGAAACACAATCACAAATCAAAGTCAATGAATCATAGATCAAGGTTTGAAGACATCAATTTTGCACCCGTGCGGGGTTAGCTACTTTGACTAATCATGTTCGAGCTATAAATACGCTTAGCCAACGCACCAAAATATTTTCTACTTATAATGCTGTCAATAAAAGAATATCACAGTGAAAGGAAATTCCGTGTTTCCGTCGCAAAATAAAAATGCCTATGCAATAATTAATGAGAATATAATGATTTCCTCTGAGTTTAGTCAATACTATCGCATGGTTACACAAAAAAGGTCATACATAAAATGTATTCCGTCACAATATGAATGGTAAAAACTTCTTACCTGGGATCTTGCTTGGAAGACTTGAGTATCAGGTAAGCAAATTATTTGTCCTGGGCTCACAAGTACGTGACCATTTTAACGTTTTCAAGAACCTATTAATCGAATAATTTCTTCGTCACCAAGAATTCTGAGATAATTACCGAGATAACTCAAGAGCAAGGTTCAATCTGATAAGAAGTTTACACTTAATTTGTTTGAAGTTTACAACCCTGTTCAGAATATTAATCATGCTCAATGTTTATTAGTTTTTAATTCTTCAGAGCAATTAAATTTTGTGAGGTAATAAAACCTATTACTGAACTCGATGGCATTTGTGTTATAAGTTTAAAAAACGATTAATGATAAAATGGAGGGTCGAAAACACTGATATTTCGGAAGACAAAAATAATTTCCGACTGACAATGAAACTATTTAATTTATTTATATTTATTCACAAATATTTTGTATCACCTTAAGAGCGTACATTCATTCGCTTGCCATTTGATTTTGATTATTTTTTAGCTTGACATTTCAAATTGACTCCTTTAAAATTAGTGTCAGTTGAAAGAAATACGCAGAATTAAAGTACGGAAATTAAGGCCCGAAATTGATTCCCTCTAATTCAAGAAACCCCAATTTTGCATTTTAAAAAGTAATGATCACTGCACATTTTTCAATAAAAGGGAACTTAACTTGAAAGTGCACTGATGATAAGTATCATGTATTAAATCGGTTTAAGATTAATTTCACAGGAATTGATTGTTATGTTTCAGCTGAAAGAACATCAAAATTATTGATTGGTTAAATCGCCAACTAAGCAGGAAGTTATTAACAAATAATTGTCCGAAAAGTAGCTCAATTTTATTGGCACTTTCATTGAATTAATATTCATGGTTTGCATTAAAAATATACATAGGACAACATGGGGCAGCGCCCCCCTTTTTTAACTAAATTTTTGATGAAGTTTTAATTGATACGAGGCGGTTCTTTGTTTTGTTTAAAGGTATGATGTGCGATGATATGATTCCTAGTGAGGAATGTATGATGTAATTAGACGCCCATAGAGTTATTCAATTTTTAATGAAAAAGTATTTGTAAAAAGTGTCAAAATGGGCCCATTGCCACACCCCTGGGGCAATGGGCCCATGGGCTTGGGGCAAGGCGCCCACCCTTGCTCCCTTTACCACACTTAATAAAAGCGGTTTCAACGTTTATTAGGCCGTAGGCCTGTCGCCGATTCTGAACATCGCAGAACATTCACAGTATTTTGCGGCCTCGAACTCACAACTCACTGCTACAATTCTGCTGTGCTTAACCGCCCGGCCTCCTAGCCGATTCTGACCAGAAACTGGCGCACAGAGCTGGGATCGAACCCGCGCACATTTTTCGTTCAAAAATGATAAAACAACACTTTGCAGTTAAAAATAAGAAAAATGTAATAAAATATGACATTCATTGATTTATTAACAACTCAAAAAATCATATCCCTAACTTGAAAAAAATATACTCTTGGCTTAAAAAATCTTCACTGAAGTGAAGACAAATATTTCATTGACATAAAAATATAGATCCTTGACTTGAAAAATACATCCTTGCAATAAAAAATTCTTCCTTGACATGAAAAATGTATCCCTGACAACAGAAAAAATATATTTAGTTAATAAAAAAAACTCCGTTCTAGTTTCGTCCATAATCCGTATAATCACTATATTATATTATTTTATCACTATTAAAACGTTGATATTTTGATATTTAGTGCAAAAACATTGATTCTATATCTGCTAAAAATGGTAGTAAATTCAGCGTTTAAATGAAACGGACTAGCGGCATCATTTATGTACAAAAAGTGATAATATAATATATAATATATGGCGTTCAGCAATGGCGTCATCCACCAGGTCGCTTCGTCCGAGCGAAAGTTTTTTCAATATTGGACAAAAAAGGTGTTTTATGAAAAAAAGGCGTTTATGGACTGGATAGTTCAGTTTCGTTCATCCATATAGACACTAACTGTCTAATGGCTGAACTTTCTTTTTCTCGGCTGAACGAAGATGGCTGAACAAAAAATCTTTCGTTCAGCAATTTAGACACGTTAGCGTCTAACAGCACAACAAACTTTTCTTTACTTTGGGACAATGTAACACTTTGAATTTAATTATATCCCAGCTGACGGCACCGCTAATAGCATAACCACAAATAAAGAAAAACGACTCCAATAACCACTCAACGTAGTGTATCACACGACTAGCTTTTGCCTTCTAACTCTTGGTTATTCTAGTAGCCCTGTCTTAACGTCCTGGGCGCATCTATCGTACGATCCATCGAATGTTTATCAGATAAACCAACCAATAGAAATTTTTTACTCCTTCTCTACTTAGTTGAAAGTATTGACATTTGCCTCTCAATTTCAATCGGAGATATCAGCATATCACAATTGGAGAGTATACACTTTATTGCGCTCGATTTACCCTTCGTGAAAAATCCAAGGTCGTTTTCTGAAATTTTCGGAACTCGTTGCAAGATACACCATTAAATTTCTTACTATGAAAATATCCAATAATTGCAAACTAAATTATCAATGACTCAATCTAGTGTGGAACAATATGACAATCGCGACGTAGAGCGTGACATAATTCTGATTGAGGTCTCTGGTCTGAAATAATCATCTTATTAAAGAAATTACTCTTAATAACAGTAAAACCGTCAAATGATGCCTCATTAGTATTGTTTAATGATATTATTGAGCGAAAAGGTAGCATTAATTTTTTTACATTTTTCTTTGTGACTTTTTCTTTGAATCTTCTACTCGAAAGATTCTACCTCTCTCTGAAACACACCTTGTGATGACAAAACTACTTTGGTTGGTTTCCGACCTTCATTTTGAAGTAAAATGACTATTCACATTAATTGATTCCGTTACGCTGTTCCGTCTGAGGTATCAAATACACCATGACTCGTTATCTAACTGAAGGCTCATTTAGCCAAGAAATGATACAGTATTGGGAAAGAGATTTGTTTATACACTTACATGATAAATAAACCGCGGTGCAACGTACATCACAGCAATCTGATAAGAATTAGATTAAAAACCTTTATGAATCATTCTTCTGCGTCTCTTGTTTTCGTCTTAGATATTTTTACTCAACTCTGGTCCACTAATGGAGAGATAGTAAATTTTGTTGCCTAGAATACCGGATATACCCATATGTGAGTGTTACAAGAAAATAATTTCTTGAATGCAATAAGAAGATTTTCATGATTCAATTTGCATTTCTGTATTTAAAATTTGAAAGTTATGGATAGCATAAATCCAATTACCACTCATGATTGGCATCTGTTATTATCACCGATAGAAAAGTTAAATTATATTTTTCCCTTAGCGACCACAAAAATATGTGTCCAGATGCTGATGCTTATTTGGCCAAGAGGGTAGATAAACATCGAAATGAGCTATTTTGAAAAAGATTCATTTGGATAATTGTTTAAAATAAAATGATGATAATGACAAATTCGACAATTTAATCAACGTTTAACAGACCAAATGCAATTCATGACCACTCCGCTATTCAGGCGTGTTTTCGTTGGTACTATTACTAACGAAATATAAACTGCGTACTAGCAACTAATAAATGCAATACGAAAATAGCTGTCTCACTCCGTACCATCTTTTCGCGTCCATTTCTTTAATGTTCTCGCATATCAAAATAATCACATAACCTCCTAATTAAGAGCTGATCGAATAAAAGCCCGATTTTATGTTCCATTTACTTGTGATAAAAATCGTTAGAGCTTTCTCTGATTAGTACGAAATCATACATAGAAATTAAATAAAACATGTCGAATAAATAACCTTTATACAATGTTGAAGACCGCCGGCATCAAACTAAATATCAGTGTATGTATTGGTAAATAATATAATTGATAATAGTATTTTATTCTCATGACTAAAGCGAGTAAAAGTTGGCAGCAAAAATCATTTGAAATCGTATTTGAATAATTTAATATAAAGAAATACTAAGGACCCATACGAACTTAATGAAACAAAAAACTAGCGTAAAATCAGTACAATATTTATTGAAAGAACTTGACTGGCGCAGCGCACGACCTTTCATGATGGAGAGGCTTAGGCGAGAAGCAAATTTAGCAGCCATTTAAATATATGTATATTTGAATATATAACTAGAATATTTTCGGACCAATCAAACTACTTTTATAAAAGTTATAAGGACTAAAGCCCTGCAATATTTTAAATAGTTTTAAAGTCAAGATGAAGTGTCATACAAGCTTCCAGGGTGGGGAAGGACTTCAAGATTAATTTCAATCTTCAGTAATACAAATAACGTATATATTATCTCTTATCGCTATTTTTATCTTGCCCGTATAAAATCACAATGAATACTACAAAAAAAATTACGCCTATTCGGTTTTCTCATCTGGATACGCAGAATGCGGATCATTCGTTCTGATTTAAATTTTTTGATAGCTTCTCAGGGTGTTTTCGCTGTTCACGTTGATGTTACTTTAGCGCACTTCCTGTTATAAATTGGTCCGTCATAATTATATATAATCGCTACCTTTTCTGACTTCTTTCCATAATTGGCAACACAAAAAAATTTGAAAATGTCAATGTATATACATATATATATATTAGTATCAGAAGGCAGAATAAGCTTGTTTCAACACGGTTGGTTAATGACCAGAGAATTCGTCAAATTAAATTTTCAGGGTATTCTTCAGATGACA